GCTCTCTCTTGAACAATCTCACTCTCCACACTCTCCCCACACTCTCTGACACCTTTCTTCTTGCAATCTTTTTCAACTTTTCAACTACAGTCGCTCCCTTAATTCACTTTACCAAAAATGCGTTTCGTATCAGCGCTTGCCGTCGCGGCGGCCACCGTCAGCGGCGCCCTTGCGCAAGACTTCGTCCTGGGCTTCAACTCGGGAGCCTCGGACGACACAGGCAAGGCCAAGACACAGGCGGACTTTGAGAAGGAGTTCACCACAGCGCAGAACCTCGAGGGCGCGCCGGGCGACTTCACTGCCATCCGCCTGTACTCCAACATCCAGTGGCAGACGACCGACACTCCCATCGCCGCCTTCCCTGCTGCCATCAAGACAAACTCCAAGCTCCTCCTTGGTATCTGGGCCTCGGGAACAGACGACATCGACAACGAGTTAAAGGCGTTGAACTCTGCCGTCGAAGAGTACGGCACCAAGCTGACGGATCTCGTAATTGGACTGTCGGTCGGTTCCGAGGATCTCTACCGCGTGTCTGAGCCCGGCATCCGGAACAAGGCCGGTGTCGGTAACAGCGCTGAGAAGATTGTCGAGTTCATCAAGGCCGCGCGCGAGCGTCTTGCCGACACTCCTCTTAAGGATGTCAAGATCACCCACGTCGACACGTGGACTGCTTGGGTCAACGAGTCCAACGCCGCTGTCATCGACGAGATCGACTTCTTGGCCGTCAACGCTTTCCCCTTCTACGAGTCCGAGCTGGACAACAAGATTGACAACGCTGGCAAGCTCTTGAGCAGCGCCATCAGCGCAACCGAAGGTGTTGCTGGAGGCAAGGACGTGTGGGTTACCGAGACCGGTTGGGCATACAGCGGTCCAGACTTTGGTGCTGCCAAGTCGACTGTGGACAACGCCGAGACATACTGGAAGGATGTCGGTTGCGCGCTCTTCGGCAAGAAGAACGTCTTCTGGTACACACTCCGCGACGCCAACCCCGCGAACAAGGTCAAGTTCGCCGTCTCTGACAACCTCTCCACCACCCCGCGCTTCGACATCAGCTGCCCTAAGGAGCAGAAGGAGTTGCCATCGGCGGAGCCCGTTAACAACGGCACTTCATCTGGTGGCTCTTCAAGCGGCAACACTACCACTGGCGGTAACAACAACGACGGCGGTAACGACAGCGACAACGGTAACAATGGCGGAAGTGACGGTGGAAGTGAGAGTGCTCAGCAATCTGGCACCGCCGCCCCTAGCGGTACTGGAGCTGGAGCTGCTACTTCAGTCTCTGTCGTGAACTCGATGGCCATGGGCTTGTCGGTCGTTTTCGCTATTGCTGCCTGGGCCTTGTAAGCGTAGATCAAGTTTCTACAACTAGCTCAAATGCTATATTTCTTTGCGTCAGTGTAAGATAGATGGATGCGTTCATATAGAGTGGCGAGTGGATCACACTCGTACCTAGTTCGAGCGACTGGTTTCGCAACACTAAGGTCTTGTAATATGCCTAGAGAATGAGATGGCTTTGTGTTGACAGTATTTCGAGCGCCGACTAGGCGAATCATGAAAGTGAAGTGTACATTGATTGAGGAGGAAGAAAAGAAAGGTCCACGGGTGCCATCCACGCACTAGCTCATCGAGACGCGTCATGCCCCACATGCACACTCAGCCGTAGCATCGCTCCTGACTCCGCATCCTCCACCAGCCTCTTGTTCTGTTGGAATTCACAAACTAATACTCATCAATGGCTGTTCGAAGAAACCAGGAGGACCATGTCACCAACATGGCTCGCAACCCATTTAACCCCAGCGAATGATTCATCCCCTCATACCTTGCGTCCGATCCAACGTCTTCGCACTATTCTTTAGAGAACGCCGGCCAAAAACATTCGACCTACTGCACCCATCAGACTCATCGGAATAGAAAAGCTGAGGGCTGCGGGTCTCGTACCGTTGCATTGAGCCCACGGTCGGGGCCATGTAGTGTGGAAGACTCCGCTGCGATTGAGCGGATGGTGGAGTTGTGGGTGGTGTCGTCACGGCATGTATCTCACCTTGTCCTCCAGGAACAAAAGCTGTAGAGGTGGGTGTTATGGGAGCCACAGAAGCTGGCGTCCAGACGGTAGAGTGGGCGATCGGACTGGAGTTGTGTTTAGGTGCCGTCACGGGTGTGGCTGGTGTAGGGCTGTGTGCCTGCATCGCCATGCTAGAGTGTCGAGACTGTGACTTTGGCCCTTTAGATTTCCGGAAGGGACTCAAGGAAGAGAACATTGATGCTGCCCGATATCTAGGAGTAGATGTTGGTGTGTTTATTGTCGCCTTGGCTGCTCCAAATAGCCCTTGAGACCTCGGAGCCAGAGGCTTTCTTGTAGGCGTTGTCGGCGTGAGCTTACGCTTTGTTCGCGGTTTTGCGGATAGTTCCTCGTTTTCGTCTTTGAGGGAGTATGCGGCGTATGCTAACAATTCAGTCCCAGGCTTCTCCTTCGTGTCCATCAACGACCTTTTTTTCTCTTTCGACCTGGTCGTTTTGGCTAATGCTGAGGCATGCTTCGCCCTCTCTTTTTGTTCCCTCTCATCGAGCTCACGGAGCTCCTGGAAATGAATCGCCTGCAGGATCAACATGCGAGCTTCAGCGTTAATGCCGTGTTCGAAGACCTCATGCACGTACGGCACAAAATCTTCCCACGTCTGTATCTGTCCTGGTAACGGGAAGATCATGTTCGCCGTCTGATAGACTCTCCGAAGGTCTCTTGGTATCCGTTTTGCGCCCATGATGGTGGGCAATACACGCAAATGCTTTGCAATTAGCTCTTTGGCTTCATAGATAAACTTGCGCATACTGCCATGCAGGGATGCATGGGCACGATTGCTAAGGTTCAGATCGAGTACGCAACTCTCAGGCACTTCGAGCAAGTACCGATCGATGTCAGCATATCGAACCGGAGTTGGGCTCTGCTCAGGCGGCCTGGAGCTGCCAAAAGCTGCTCTAAACAGCGCCTTCGACGGGCTTGCAGCGTGCTTTCCGAAACAAGGCTCATTAGGAACCGATGGCGTGTCGAAGAGTGCTAGATCCATCTTGTATTCCTGATCGTAGGAATAGTCAAGGATACACACATATTCGTGCCCAGGTTCCAAGCAGCCGAACAACCACTCCCACGGCCCGGACACCTGCTGGTTCATACTGTGTATGATTCTCTTCATTGCCTCTTCAGATGTAGCGTGATCTACAAAGAACCTTGTATTCGCAATTAACTTCCCCTGCGATACTTTGGCATTACGGATGTAGCTGAGTGGTGCGGCGCTGACTATAGGCTCACATGCGGCACTGAGCAGCGGCGTGTGTCGAATGCGAAATTTCTCCCAATCCGGCTTCGACGGCAGTACTTCTATACCGCGACCAAAAACGCGAAGCATAGCGCAAAGACTATACGGGTTCACGGTTGCTATTCCGACAAGATCCCTTTGTGTAGATCTGCCGATATCATAGTGCATGGCCAGGGCTTGCAGCATCTACTACATGTTAGTTGTAAATCCTTAATCAGGATACGTGATAGACGCTCACTCGTGTAGCTCGTCTCTGGTTGCGATAGCGTTTCACCACGAGCAGTTGCGTTATCCACCACACTCGATCGTCACCATGCATCCACTGGCTCACGAAGCAGTGCCCAACGTGCCGATCGTCTTTAGTAACAACCGTCACTAGGATATTGTTCGCGCCCTCAGGTAGACACTGAGCTCTTAGTCTTACGCAACTTATATGTATTGGTTTGCCTGTATCAGAGTCAGCGATACGTCCTTAGCTGCCGTCCTACACACTCCAACAACGTAGGAGGACTTACCGTACTCGGCCATCATCCCCATTTCAAGATGCGCTCTCCAACTCCACACACCGTAATCAGAAGAGAAGTTACCAGCGCATATGTCCAGTTCTTCGTCCGTCACTGCATCTCCGGGAATAATGCGATACACGATGTCTTCGTCGACATCTGGTTCTTCATAGAGGTGGTTAGACTCGCCACGTATACAGTAGTCGACAACACCGGTGCTGGCAGGGTCGCGGTCCGCCATTCTTTCAGGTGGTTGGTCTCTTCGCGCGGTGGATGGTAGCTGATCGTGCTTCGCAGCGGTAGTCACGCTGTGCCCTCGTTGGAAATTATTTCGATTTTGATTTGATGTTCTCGCAAAATTAGTTGTCCCAGGACATTGGAATAAGCTGAAAAGCTATCGTAGACGACTTTTCGACTGTCAGGTTCGTTCAAGCGAGGGATGCAAACCATGGTAGAGACTGGATTGCGCCGTATCATGCGAAAAGCCGCGCTTGCCGCTTCCTCTGGACCCCTTCCGAGTCCAACCCCAAAGTGAACGATCAGTCCCGAAAGAGCTGTAGATGGAAGGAGTGAAGCGTCCTCGCCTAGACCTTTGGCCTGTTGAGCGGGTTGACAGGGTCACAATACGATTTGGATCTCAAGACGCGTTATCATGTCACGAATTGCACCCAAACAAAGTATGAGTTGCGCAATCGGTAGTATCCAATGGCTTCATTTGACAAATCACTGCTAACACTGCACAAGTCTAATCAAGGTAGACAAGATGTGCCGGACTCAGAACAAGCGGATCAGACACCTCCGCGACAATCTTCCCATCACGATCGTGCCTTCATCTTGGGAAACCAACATTCCAGCGCACACCCGGTTACTCAAGTCTTAACGCTCGTGCCATCTCATATCTTCTTAACAGCGTTCATCCTACTCAAGTCAGTGGGTGCACAAATCCCATGCGAACGCAAAACTCTTACCTCGTAGTACTGCCTATCATCCGCGAAAGATACCCGACGTCTCCTTCTCGTATCCACTGGCTGCTGCCTTGTGTCAGGCGGAAGGTATTCGTCGCCACGCCACACCCCAGTATTATGTAGTCGATATCTGTCGTCGCGGTCCGGCTGCCTGACCTCTTGCAGTGGTCGCCTTGTATCGTGAGGCAAAGACTGTGGCTCGAATCGGGATGGCCTCCGATCTAGCAACTCCTCTCTGTCTTCGGATCGCGACTGCCTGTGATCTCGTAACTCCTCTCTTTCTTCATAGCGCGGCCGCTGCCTGTGGGACTCATCGAGATCTGCGATCTTCCTTCGGTCAGCCAGTTCGACCATTCTCTCCGCCTCTCGCGCTGGTATCGGGAGAATAGATCCCCACTCGCCCGCTGCGTCACAGAAGTTGATGATCTCCAGTCTCTTCGCTGGATCATGTTAGCAGCATGTTTTTTACACGTACCGATCTACTCACCATCGGTCATGTCCCTCGGTCGCTCCATCTCGCTCACTCGCCTTGCTGGCTGCGCCGATTGATCCGGATTCATCTGCATGAACCGCATAGGGTATTTTGGCTGCTTCTTCATCCGTGAGACAATGCTCTGATACGTCGCGAGGTAGTCATCTCTCCGAGCACCTGAGATCTTGGCTAGTTCGTATTCGTTGTGGAAGGGCGAGAGGAAGTTAACGAGCCAGATGATGTCGGCATCACGACCGGGATAGTACTCGAGGCTTTCAATCAACCGCTTGGTGAGTCGCAGGGCGAACAAGCCGATGACGAGGAAGTCTGGAGCAGGCGGTGGTGGGGAAGGGCGAGGTGGTAGTCGCGGCGGTGCGGATGGGCCGCGCACGATGTCGGGAAGGGGCGAGAGAGCGGATCTGGGTTGCTGCATGTTGATGGTGTGTCGATGGAGGACGATAGTCAGGCAGTGAAGGTAGCAGTCTAGACTCAGCACATTTGGTCGCGTGCTTGGCGGTAACCGGAAGTCGCGATTCGATGGCGCGGTGACGACTGTGAATACAAGCGAGTCCAATTTCGCGTCAAAATGACCAAGTTACCGTACCTGCACCTGCTGTGCGTTCTCTGGAGCCTTGAGTGTTATTCGTTGCTCTAGTGAGTTTACCCAACGCATGTGATCAATTCCCCTACAGACTGGAGTGGACAAGACAGCGACCGAAGATTTGAGACTCAAGCCTGTCCCCAGCCACTTAATTAATCGTCAGCGCATGGTATCCGATCATCTTGCACCCTACAAGAGTTGGCTCTTGGGCTCGATCGTCGATTCGGTACACATCGTCGTGTGCTGGTTGTAGTCATGTTCCTGGGCAGATCAGAGTGCAGAGAATGACCACTCTTACTCAGACGTGTCTGCCCAAGCAAATAAAATGTGATATTGTCGCGACACCACGTTGTGATGCTTCGCAAGACGCTGGTGAAGAATATATGCACGATGACGTCACGCGTAGATTAGCGTGTATGAGTCGAAATGACTATTGGACGGCGAACGGTGACACCTGCGTACCTTCCCCGTTACATATCACTAGAGCTGTCCTGGCATTGACGATGCAGTTCCCTATCAACAAAGAGATCAATTCAAAGATCAAGATCGACCGTCTACGATAAAGCCGAATCATGGATTACCCGTTTATTCCGGCAACTTCAAAAATTCCCTCCAAGGTTCTGGAGCCTATTTCAACAGAAGGGCCTCTACGCGAAGAGCTCTTGTCGCCGAAGCCACCTCTTGTAGACTCAAAGTCCATATTTGCGTTCTGGCATTCTGGCATCCGAACGATCCCACCCGTCCTACTACGCAACGTCCTTGCTTGGTACCGCCGCTTCTCACCACTGGGATGGACTATCTATGTCCTTGACAACGTGCCAAATTCTGCACTAAACGTAGGCAACTACATCGACACCAAGTCCTCCTCGATTGTACCGGCGGCATTCACAAACGGCACCCTAGACGGACAGTATGCTGCACAACACACCTCAGATCTAATCCGCTATCCGCTCCTGTTGAAGTACGGTGGTGTGTATCTCGATGTTGGTGTCCTTCAATTCGGCGACCTAAATCGTCTCTGGACCGAACACATCACCAACGCAGATTCGCCTTACGACTTCGCCGGCTTCACGCTGGGAGCAGATGAGCCGCAGATCGTGAATTTCTCGCTCATGTGTCGAGCGAACAACCCGCTTGTGCAACGCGCACATTATATCCTGCTCCAGGTCTGGGAAGGCAAGACCAACACGATCGGCACACATGCGCATCCAATGGTGTCCCACGTCCCGCTTATGCGTGTGCCACAAGAGGTTGTTGTAGAAGAAGAAGGACAAGAGAAGATGGTGATCAACGACGAAGCCATGACCGACTATGCGATTCAAATCCAATGCATGGGATCGGCGCAAGGCTGGGTGGATGAAGAAGGTGGATGGGACGGGCCGAAGTATGTCAGAGAGAAGTGCTGGCTGCTCAGCATGATGGACGGGGCATTCGCACACGAGCAGATGACTGGATGGAGTGGTCAGAGGCAATTTGATCTTCTGAGCCTTCGATTACCCAAGGAGAGCGAGATTGAGACAGACGATCAAGCACTTGCGAGGCGTATTGTAGAGAAAGTAGTGGCAGACAGCTGGTGTTTGAAGCTTGGGCACGGGTTTTCGGCTAAGCTGTTCGGAAGCGACACTCTCGGTATGCTGTGGAGAAAACATCGTGGCAGCGACTGTGCCAATAGGACGTATGCGGGTTGGCTGAGGTGGGCAGAAGTGGGCTATTGTCGCGACAGCGATGTGGTACCTATGAAGGTTCCCGTGTATGAGCCGACTAGGAAAGCGAAGCTTTTGCCATGAAAGGACGAAAGGCATGATGGAATGATAAGGGCGACTTGGGCGAACATGCACTGCTCGAGATAGCGCCCAGAAATTTAGTGTAGAACTATGTCATTACACAGCCGAAGCGGATCTGCCCGCCTCCCCTTTTCTCACGCCCACGCCCACGCCCACGCTCAATGCCATCCCCTCCCTTCAGGCTTTCGGAAACTTGCGTATCGACTCGCAGACATCTCATGCACAGGTGTAACTTCATGCGCCATCATCTCTGACGGCTGCCGCGATACTGGTTCAATTGTTTGCCCATCGATCTCGCTGACAGCAGGGTTCTTGGCTCGGCGGTTCCGCCTAAACAGCAGGAAGCCTATGGCTCCAAGCACGGCCAGTCCAGCAACACCTCCCACAACGCCACCTGCTATTGCACCTTTATTGGTCGATTTACTTTCGGCTGTCGGAGCCGGGCTCGCGGGCGTGATGCTGGTAGGTGTGCAGATCGTGGTAGGGTTCGGCGATAGGTTTTGCGCATCGGCTGCGACAGCTGGCGCAAGTTGAAACTCGCTTTTCGCGTAGTCTACTAAAAGATAGTTGAAGGTCAAGAAGAGCCCTCCCAGGGTACTGTCAACATCGCCTGGATCATCTTGTCGCGTATCCGACACGAAGGCTTCGAGTGTGCTGTCGTTGGTGATGGCATACCGGCCGTACTCGTCAGATCCGCGTAGTGGCGCGAACAATTCCTTGTTAGGTATCCTGGACTGATAGCCGCCTGCCAATGTTACAATGAGATCGCCGCCGGGACGATTCGAGACGTTGTATTGCATCTTCGCCGGATATGCGGTCTCATTCTGGCCAGTAGAGTTTCCGAATGCCTGCGCAATCGCTGGAGGAAAGACGAAGCGCTGCGTCGATGGCTCAATACAAGCAATCAGCCCATCGCTTCCGTCTGGTATGAGCGGTTTATCCTGATACGTCAGGTTTGTGACCGTCACTTGTAGAGGACAGGCGCGCTCGAGGTTCCAATCGCGGATCGGGAAAGTAGTGAAGTTGGATGCTGGGTCGACCCGCGCACGATCGTATCCTCCTACAACAAGCAGGCCGTCATGTGGATCGATGCCCCTGCTACCACTCCACAGACCAAATACTTGAGATGGCGCGACACCACCTGCGACTGCAGCGCGGAGGAAGGAAGAGTTGGTTCCGAGAGGTAGACCAGATTGCACACCTGCCATCAGTCAGCTTCATTCATAGCTCGACAACCCGCATTGGACGAGACGCAAGCCAGGATTCTCACCTCCCCAGACTTCACTATCCATGACCAATGGAAAGCCGTCGACATTGCCATTTTCTTGGAACGCGACATCATCGTTGAAGTAGACGTATGCACCGGTGCTGTCCTCAGCGTCGACTTGGCTGCCATTCCACTGGCTCTTGATCGAAACCGCATACGATGTAGACTTTGGCGCGTCGAAAGCACCGCCTAGACCACCGATGCAGCTGTCGTTGCTCGCAGATCCGCAATTTATAACATTGTTGATACGCGTATTGTTGAGCGTAGTCGACGGTCGGAAAGCAAAGATCTGGTGCGGAGTTCCGATACCAAGTTCAATACCACGTGCGACACCGAGACCGTCCTGTGTGACGGTGATGTTCGACCAGGTGAGTGTCAGAGGCGGGATTTCGCATTGCGCTGCTATCAGGCGAGAGTTAAAGAAGACGAGGGCAGCAAGGCTGAGAGTGAAGCTACATCTTGTGCGCCATGATGGAGCCATGGCATTGAAGCGGGCTGGAGCATGTGCAGGAGAATCGGCTCGTCTCACAGGAGCATCAAGGTCAAGTCGGTGAGCAGAGAAGAGGAGGTAAGCAGACAAAGGAACCAGCTTGCGCAACGTAAGCCGGGCGCAGGTTGTGCTCCTCGAAACCGACGCCCAAAGAGATTTCTCGTACTATCATGCATCGTGATAGCAGCAGTTTTCCTGATTGGAGTAACATTCTAGTGGCGCAACCTATTGGGCGTGGGTAGCTGCATTGTCAGCTTGAAACGTCGGTTAATGCGCCTGCTTGCATGCCGATCACTTCTATCATACCTGGGATCTCGAGTGCTAGTCGATATGCGTCGAAACCTGGGTTTCCTGCTGTTAGACGTGTGTACCGCTTTTGGACGAACCGGAGGGTGCATGAAACACCCCGCTTTGTGCTTCTACATCATACATAACGACCACATGTCTACTAAAAATGGGCCACCCCAATGGAACATCAAGATCTCTAGGTGCGTTAAGCCGGCAGGCGGTGCCTACTGCCTTCAGCGTATCCTTCGAGCATCGATACACACAAGGCTGTATCTGTCAAGCAATATTATCATGTAGCGGCATATTTCTGATCATATGTACCAGCTGCGTTATCACGAAATAGACGTAACTTGAGTTGATGGACTGGCAATCGCCAAAAGACTGAAAGTATTTGTTTTACAGCTTTGTGTTCCAGTTGATACACCAGAACCCTATGGAACCTGCATGGGCTGCTTCCATAGTTTGCTCCAACGACATGAGTATCGATAGGCAAGATAAGGGTCACACCTATGTGCAATACCAAATTGCCACTAAATCACCTACCAATCCCGCCTGCTGAACAGGATCATGATCTTGGCATTCTGGAAGGTGAGATGCGACCAAGTTGAAGAGACCAGATGACGTCATCTCAGGTGTTTCGCCGATTCACAACGAACGTGTGGGGTTCGTTCATCTTCATTGCATCCAAGCAAGCGATGACTATCAACAGCGCACAAAGCTCGATCGAATCTGGACTCCGAGATCCGCTTCCCCATCTATACTCGTGCTGAAGCTCAGAAGGCGAAACGTTACAAGTCATTTGCGCAGGTTTGCGTCCCGATAAGGCTCGACCGGGCTTGAAACCATAATCCCAATGGCATCGCAAAGTCAAGACTTCAAACTTGTATGCGATGGACATAAGTGCGAAGTATGCGACAAGCTTTCTGAAACCCTTGAACAGCTGCGAGCAGGCGCTGAGAGTCAATGTCCTTTATCTCTTGTGCGACTGGCTTGTGTGGAGTGGGCTCTAGCACGACTAGGTCCAGATGCCCCCATATGCGATATTCAATACAGCGGGCCATTTCAGTTGATGGCTTTCGGAGAATCGGCGGCGCTCGACGTGGAACTTTTCGATCTCTGCGGTACGGGAGTTGACAGCTTCCAGAGGGTGCTCACTAACTTCCCCAGCGACCTCCCCAGCATCAGGAAGATTCATGCCAAGCTCGACTGGCTCAGACAGCACTTTCTCAGCCATTGGGAGTTGGCTGGAAGACTGCTCAAAGAGCCACGATGGTTGCGCTAAATCAGTTCTTAGCGCACACCTCAGCAGTCAAACAAGCGCAAGATTCCTCAAAATCGAAGAAGATCGGCTACTCCTTCTACGAGATATAAGTCCCGCGCAATACGTTTGTCTGAGTCACTGCTGGGGAGTTGGTGAGGGTATACTCCGGACGACAGAGTCTAACTTCATTGAACACTCGAATGAAGGCATTCCCATGGGCAGCCTCCCCGCGACCTTCAAGGACGCCGTTATTATCTGCCGAATTCTCAAGGTTTCTTACTTATGGATCGACAGTCTGTGTATTATTCAAGATAGCGACGAAGACTGGCGCAGTCAGTCTGCGACCATGGCCGACATTTATGCGAACGCGTTCCTCACGGTCGCCGCATCGGATTCCAAGAACGCTACCAAGGGTTTCTTTCGAACTGCTGATCCCGACTTTCGGGGAGAGCCACTACCAGGCCACCCAGGAGTGTATGTACGGCCATTAAAAGACTCGGGCATTACGTGGCCGCTATTAAAACGAGCATGGGTGTTCCAGGAGCTTGTATTATCTCCCCGCGTTGTACACTTTGGTCCCAACGAGATTATATGGCAATGTCGACGCGCAGTCAAGTCCCAAGGTCGAAAGCGAGAAGAGGTTATATCAACATCGATCCATGATCTCAATATGATAAGTCGCGCGACGGAGAAGCTCCAATCTAAAGATTCGAATCTTACAGCGATATGGCATGAGATGGTGAGGTTGTACAGCCAACGGAGACTTACCTACAGCAAAGATCGCTTGCCAGCAATCGCCGCAATTGCCAAGACAATGCAGTCACTCCGACCAGGCGATGAATATATTGCTGGAATCTGGCGATCGACTCTCTTCTTTGACATGCTATGGCGCACTCGTTTCGGGCAAGCTGAATGGACCGAGGGTCTGCTGGCGGCAGTCAAAAAGCGTATGGCTGGAAGCATACCTACTTGGTCTTGGGCATCCATAAGTGCAGGCGTTGAATAGGGGGTAGCGGACACGGTTCTTTCCAATGTTGAGATCCTCGAAGTCCGCTATACAGTGCATGGGCCGACCGTTTCCGGTGCTATCACTGAAGCTGCGATCACTTTACGCTGCCCTCTGATCAGTTTTTGGGACATCCGACACCGATTGGATGTGCCAATATCGCTCGAGGAAGCAATAAATGAAAGAATTTCACCGGGATCAAACGAAATGACCCATGATAATCCCCAATGGGACGACGTGGGACTGGCTCCCTGTCATGACATCCAAGCTCGGCTGTGTCTGCTATTTCTCGCTCTCAAACAAGGGCCATCTATATGGCCAGGCGATCGGCAACGCGCGCTGATTGTGATGGAGAAAGATCGTCCAGATCACTATGTTCGCCTTGGCATCGTCGATGTACATTACGCTGGGTGGTGGGCCATTACTCTCCGACCAGGAGATCCTGAGTATGTGGAAGGCTACCATGTCGATGGGCTTACGGAAAAGTACAATGATCGTCTCAAGGAGATGCTTGAAGAGATGGATACAGAAATTGTAACATTGCTCTGATCTCAAGAAGAGTACCAGGGATGAGGCAACATGCAAGGCGACGTTGCTTGGGAAAACGGGTCGTAGTGTGCAAGCCGAATATGGTTCAACTCAAATTCACACTTTCAAGGTGTAGTCCTTCTATAAAAAGCCTTCTTTGAATGGGTTCCGTTGAAGCGAAAGATCGATGGCTATGTATGTCTACGTGTGGTCTCTTTTCACGCGCGATGTCATTGTCACCCCGTGCACCGCCACGACCCAAGCCGCTGAACCCCACCAAGACATCCCTACGCCTGCGCGTGTCCCGCCTCCACGTCCCAGCCCAACCACTAGCTCCAGCCAACACCAGACGCCGACACGACAATCAACGACGCCGTAACTGCAATTACTACACGTACTCAGATACTATCGCCAAATATACAAGATGGCGCCTTCAGTCTCGTTAGTCGTACGTTCCATGGCGACACCACATACTGCCATCGCGACTGCCAGCTAATGCGGGGCAGAACAAGCTCAAGGTACAGCTCAAGCTGTCCATATCGCGACTACGCATGGTCCAGCAGAAAGACAGCGCCAAAGTAAAGCAACAAAGGAGAGAAATGGCGCAACTGATCGAGGTACGTCGGTAGCTCCTTACAAGCAATTGTCGCATCGCCTCGCCCAGGCGCAAGGCAACTGCGCGTATCCAATACCACCACACTCTCCTCTAGGTCCCAGAACTGACGTCTATGTAGGTCGGCAAAGTGCAATCAGCGCGCATACGCGTCGAAAACATAATCCGCACCGACATCACGACCGAACTGCACGAGATCCTCGAACTCTACTGCGAACTCCTCCTCGCGCGCTCCCAACTCCTCGAATCGCAAGTATCCTCTTCAAACACCACCTCCGCATCCACCTCGACCCTCCTCGACCCAGCGCTAGAAGAAGCCGTCCGCAGCATAATATACGCCGCGCCGCGAACCGAGATCAAGGAACTGCATACCGTGAGGGCGCTGTTGGTGGACAAGTTCGGGAAGGATGTCGCAGTCGCTAGTATGGAGGGAGAGGGTGTTGCGGAACGGGTCATGAAGAAGCTGAAGGTTGAGACACCGAAGGAGGAGCTGGTCGAGGCATACATGACGGAGATTGCGAGATTCTACGGTGTACCATACGGCACCGCCAAGAGCGAAGACGAAGACGAAGACGACGACGACGACGACGAGCCATCAGGTGGCGTAGCAGAGAAAGCAGACGCCGATCTCGAAGATCCCATATCGACCGACGACAGCACGAGCAAAAAGGCAGAAGAGCGGGAAGCGCTGGCGAAAGCCTCGACACCCAAGAAGCTTGGTCCACAAAGTCCGCTGCGAGTCGTTCCGCCCAGCCCCAGTACAGATAATGTCGCGCCGAGGTTGAAGTTACCGGGCAGTGCGGCGGCGAAAGTAGCGAAGAGCGAGGCGAATACGAAGAAGCCGGCTAAGAAAGAGGACGGGCTGGGTAAGATTCCGGATGTGGATGAGCTTTCCAGACGGTTTGCGGAGTTGAAGAGGTGATGTGGGTGAGAGCGAAGGTCTGGTTGTTTGGCACGCATTCTAATGGAGTTGCCATCAAGCCTTCCACTGCAAGTATCAGTCTCGCAGGAGTGTCCCAGACTGCGTACGAATCATCTTAAGAGTAAGACTATTTGGCACAGTATCAAGGGTATGAGCCCAGACGTAAGGGACCGCGTACGATAGTAATGGTCGTGATTTAAGTCTCCTACTCCTCAAGATAGCCAGCTGCTGAGCTGCGCGTAATGCTATCGATGCAAACTGCTCCTGTTCTCCACAAATCTCCCATATGGTATCACATTGTACGGCTTCCCATGTTGAACTTTCAGACATCTTCGATGCCTATACTGAGGACTAGGGAATAGGTGGTACATGTAAATTACTGGTATCATGCTAATACGCTCACGAATCTGACTAAAGCTACGACAGGCCTCTTATCCGGGTACAGAGTTTTACTACATCCCGAAACACCGTTGGCTTGCATACTCAAGATTACAAGGCCTGAATACCCTTGAAGAACCCATTAGCCATAAGCTCTGGGTTTCCCTTGACCAGCTCCCTCATCCTCTCGACTTGTTGTTTCTTCGTCAGCCCCTTGCTCTCTACCTCTTCCTTCCACTTCACCAGTACCTCCTTGAGCATTCGGCTTCCGTCCTCCACTTCCTCTTTACTGGCTTGAACGTAACCCTCTTCGTGCTTTCCAGCGAAGTCTTCCAGTTCGTCGGCCTTTCGCTTTGCCATCTTGATGACTTTCTGTGGGAAACGAACGAGCTCTGCGACGTGGATACCAAAGGACTGGTCGGAGAAACCGGGTTCGACTTTGTATAGGAGGGTGACTTCGCGTTTCTTTTGCACGGCGGTGGCGGCGTCCATGTCTGCGTCTCCGTCGGCGTCGGGTGCAGGAGCGCTGCCTTCAGATATGTGTGCTACGACGTGTAGATTTTGGACTTGTGGGTAGGTGTCCACCAGCGCAGTCAGCTCGTGGAAATGCGTAGCGAACAGCGCGAAAGCGCCAATCTCCTTGACGATGTATTCAGAAATGGCCCATGCGAGACCGAAACCATCGTATGTGCTTGTGCCACGACCAAGCTCATCGATGATGATGAGGGATTCTTTTGTCGCAGACTTGAGAATGTTTGCTGTCTCCAACATCTCTGCCATGAAGGTTGACACACCCTTGATCTGGCTGTCGCTCGCGCCTACACGAGCCAGGATGCAGTCGAAGATCGTGAGCTCGGCTTCTGAGCAAGGGACGAAACAACCAATCTGTGCCATGAGGGCAATGACACCAATTTGCCGGATGTATGTGGATTTACCACCCATGTTGGGACCGGTAATGATGAGGAACTCGCTCGAGTCGCGAACGAGAGAGACGTCGTTTGTGATGAAGGATATATCGTCTTGCATCTCCATGCAAGGGTGTCGCGCCTCTTTGAGGACGGTGTTGCCGGTGCCGCGTGCGTGCATGGTAGGTCGAGTGTATGAGGTGGGTGCGTGGACGGAGACGTGGGCGAAGGAAACAATGACATCGAGATGTGCGAGGACGGCGGCGAGCTTCTCGACCACAGGAACGTAGGACGATGCAACTGAGACGACTTCGTTGACGAGGCCGGATTGAGTGCGGTTGTAGTTCTCTGAAAGCTGATCGAATTCTCGTCGCTTTTCTTGTAGTGTGTTGGTGGTGAAGTAGACTCCGTTCTTCTGTGTAGAGATCTCTTGGTACTGCTTCTTTTGTCTGATGCAGCCTGCTTCGTTGCGGGTTAGTCGGAAGCACCAGCCGTTGACTTTGTGGTTTTCTAGGAATAGCTTCTTCTCGGTGTCTTGGTTGAGGTCATCGCCCACACGCATGTGCTCTGACTCCATGTCGCGCTTGAGCTTGTCCAGGCGCTTTCGGATGGTCTTCAACGACTCATCAAACTCAGGCTTGATGATGAACTCGTGGTTGTCGAGCGCTTCGAGATCCACCGTCGTCTCTACCATGTCCTGCAGGCCTGCAAATGCCGTTGTGTATTGGCGGAGCTTATCCGTGTACTCCGCATCAAGCGGCTCCTTGTACTGCTCGTCCATGACCGCCTCGAGGGAGCTGAGGAAGCCCGGCAATCGGATGACGACTTGATACGCGCGCACGACGTCTTCCAGGTTTGCGACTTTGCGTTGGAACTTCTTCGCTAGACGGTACAAATCCGGTATTGACCGCAGATGCTCCTCTTGCATCGTCTGCCTTAGCTCGGTATCGTTGACGAAGGCTTCCACCAATTGCTGTCGTCGTTGAATCTCCTCGACGTTCATGAGCGGCTGCTTGAGCCATTGTGCTAACAGTCGGCTACCGGTGGGTGTCTTGCAGTGGTTGAGCAGTCCGTATAAGCTCATGTTCTTCGCGCCGTCTCGTGGTCCCGGCATGAGGTTGAGTGCCTTCAGCGCGGCAGCGTCGAGCTTCATGTATTGCGAGAGGTCGTGTTGGTAGAGCTGGTACTGTCCAAAGTTCGACGAGTCCGACATGACCCCTAGATACCGGATTAGGCATGCAGCTGAGCCCATAGCTAGCTTCAGGTCTGTCAACGGCAGCGAGCCGGCTGCTCGCTCATCCTTGAGTAACCGCGGCAGATCCTGCTCGATGTCTTTTGTGCCAAAGTCTGCGTGCGACCGCTCTGCCACAGCGCACCCGCAGTTGTCGGCAATCGTCCGAAGCTTGCCCAGCTCCACATCCTTCTTGGTAGAGTCGACTTGTATCAGGCACTCCTTGACGCCGAGCTGGATGAGCAGCGATTCGAAGTTGGAGTAGAGGTCGTTATCAAGGAATTCTGTAACACCGAGCTCCCGTACGCTTGCATCTGCAAAGCATACACCCACATTGCGTGCTTCCGATGCCTTTGCGGACACCTTGACCGCTAATATGATGGGCGCATTCTCGATCTGACCTCCCAATTCGTCCTCCAGGTCTTGCAGGTTGCCGGGTGAGGCCTGCTTGACCACCTTCCAATCCATGCGCTTGCCAGTCGATTGCCATATCTCGATACGTTTGCTGAGTCTGAAGAGTGCGTCGCGGAGGAAGTTGCGGAATACGGTGATAGTCATGGTGACAGATTCGAGGCCGGGTTCTCGTCCCAGCTTTCGGATGACGGCTGTGGTCTTGTATACCTAATAGCGTTTCAATATACTGAACATAAGCCAATGCTTTCGCATGCACTTACTGTGTTTGCGATGAACTTTGCATCTTCGCCGTGGGCGCTGTAGTAGTCGCCGCGGTCGAAGATGCGCACCGTCTCATCGTCTTTCTCAGGCAAGTTGCGGAAGAACTTGCAGAAACCCGACTCATCCTCCTCCTTGATTTCCGGTCGGGATGCCATGTTGATATGCGATAGAAAGACAATTGCGGGGTGGGACGACAGAGGAAAGAAGGGAAAAGTTGGCGATGATTGGGGCGCGCCTGCCGTTAATTGACTGAGCGCGTCGACGCGTCCAGTTCACGCTAGTCTTATCGATAACACTAAGCTCCTTGAGGACACACGGGGCGGTCATCATCAACCCTCCGCAAAATGACCGCGAATGCCAGATTCATCTCCGATTTCGAGGCTCGTCATCGCTCATCATAATCACGATCACTTTAGCTACGATCTGTTCGCTCTGGAGTCGTCTCCAACCCATTCGAACGCGCCTTCCCTGCCCCGATACCCTCTGCAACTGCAAGATAGATTAATTTGGTACACAAAGAGCATTGGAAAATAAAACCCGCAGTGATCCTCAAGCTACGACGGCTACAGCAGCGCATAAGGTAAGTAAATGGGTCAAGAAGGCAGGCAGTTGCATTAGTAGACTCCGCTTTCAAGATGAAGTGCGAATCGATCCCAAGGCTTCACGCTTCGAAGCCACTACGGTCGGGACCGTCTCCCAGAAGCTTCTTTCTAATCTTGGGCACAGGATCATGTCGCTCCCGGCGGCTATGCCAAACCAGATGCAGCACCCGCATGAGAGCTGCGAAAGCACGAGATGTCGAAGGAAATGAGCTCCATGCCACGTGTAAGATTGTTGTATACTCACACTACATACCTTAGCAGTCGGTACACCAAGATCGGTGTATTATGACTATACAGGCGCTCTATGACGATAGTGTGGCAGGTCGCCCGAAAAGAGCATGATGCCCAACCTTGTGTTGTGCCTGCGCAGCCACTCCTTTCTTTCACATGCGGAGTGTATGCGGAGTGTATGCGGAGTGTGTGCGGGGCCCCAAAGTTGAAGACGATTACTCACACCCTCACATCACCATTATATCGACCGTCGGGTGCAGTGGTAGTGTTGCGGCTCTTTCTCGTGCGTCGTTGCGCCCAGACACCTTGGCGACAAACTTCTCGGCCTCATTGACGCTGGTTGAGCCGCCAAGGTCTTGGATTGAGCCGCAAGCCTGCGGTACCGCATTCCCTATTTGGCACTTTTTGTCATCTTTGTGATAAGCAAGGTGTTTGCGCGCCAAAATTGAACCATTTTGTATCCGTAGGTGTTTCGGTCCTCGGTGATGTTGTGGAGATCGCGCGGATGGTTTTCGGGATGGGTGGTTGTAAGGAGTCACACTTGACTTCCTGTATTTAATTTGATGGATACTTCCGTCTCTTCATCGGTGCTGAAACTCTGATTACTTTGCTTCGGCTCCGCTGCTCAGCGTCGTGAGTTCCGTTACGAATCGCCTCAGCCACGACATCAACATGGCCCACAGATCAACATCACCAAGACCTGTATTGCCTCATAACCTCTTGCCAATGCATGTCCAATCGAACCCCTCCTCTGGGACAGCAACACCTATTAATGCAGTCCCGACAACTCTTTCATCGATGCCATATCAACACCGGGCTCACAACATGCACCAACCAACCAACAATGCCTATACTCCTCAGGAGTCTTTCGAGATAGTCTCGCGCATGGGCGTCAAGAAGGCGTATATGCGTGTCGACAAGAGCTTCCTCAGTGCCTGCTCCGCTGGCATGATCTTGTCTTTCGCATGCGCAACGCTCATCTCGACCAACACCTCGCCATGGTACCAGGAGAATGCTCCAGGCCTGATCAAGACAATTGCCGCGCTCGTATTTCCGTACGGTCTAGTTATCGTACAGATGACTGGCAGCGACCTGTGTACTGGCAGCTTCATGTACACGACCGTTGCTGCGTTACATCGACGACTCAGCATCTGGCGGATGTTGAGGCATTGGGTGGTAACCTTTTTTGGGAATCTCGCAGGAAGTTTGTTCGTGTCTTGTGTGATCGTCGGATGTAAGTCTCTGATAGCAGCAGCGACTTGGAAGTTTGAAGCTGACCTGTTGTGATAGACGGTGGATTATTCGACGGAAAACTATATCGAGAAGAGTCGCTCCACTTTGCTTACAAGAAGCAAGTCGAGCCAGAGTGGTACCAAATCTTTCTCAAAGGCATCGGCGCCAACTGGTTGGTCTGTCTGGCCTGCTTTCTCGGGTGTTCGGGTCGCGACTATGTTTCCAAGGTAGTGGGGATATGGTGGCCGACGTTTGCGTTCGTATCCCTGGGGTTCGGTGAGTACCACACATTCGTGTGCATATCTACAAGTTAGCTGACTGTGTATCAGATCACGTCGTCGCCAACATGTTCTTGATACCCAATGCCATCTTCCATGGCTCACCAGACATTACCATCGGCATGTATGTTTGGAAAGGTATCGCTCCTGCACTACTTGGCAATATCGTCGGCGGCGGCTTCTTTGTTGGTGTCCTCTACTGGTATCTGCACCTGCAGGGTCATGACGACACCGCCATTGACGGCCAGCGATACGAATCGATGACGAGAAGCCAGCAGGACTTGGCAGAGTGGATAAGGTTAAAAGAAAGAAAGGGTGTAACAGAAAGTCGAGAGCAGGTTTGAACGAACGGTGGTTTGGTTGCGGAGGATAGTCAGAGCTCACGACGCGGCTCGAGTTCCGCATAGCCAAGCGGGTGACGTCAAGGATGGGACGTGCTCGCGAGCTCCCCTTTTTCTGTCCTTGTACAAGCGTGTTTATCTAGAAGACATCTAACATTAGAATCAACAAACGAATAATTTTCCATCATTTTCTCATCATCCCATGTCTACAGTATCCTGTGATTGGGTTGATGCATGTAGCAGCCAGCAGTCGTGACTACAGGGCCGTTGTAACAGTTGGGGTTTGAGCGGATCCTAGGGCATTTTCCACTCCATCATCGTATTGATCGTTCTAGGTATGGCAGTTCTAGTACGTATAACAAAAGATGCCCGATCGTACATCCACGATGTCCGAGACTTTGACATCCGGTGCTAGACCTCCGATCGAGACGATGTCATCGAGACTTGCTTGCTCCTCCGACCTAGGCTTGAAGCTGCCTGTATACATATTCTGTCGCCGTGGCGGGCCATACTGCTGCCACTTCCACCAGATCCTGTCAATTTGCGCATGGTGAAGGAAGAATATTGGGTCTTTCAAGGTGTTAGCGATCGACCGCAAGCCAGCAAAGCTAAACCGACGTACCATTAGGTGAAGTAAACAATCGAAAGTCTCCCATGATGAACTTAGGTATAGCGATGTGCGCTCCATCTTCAAATCGTACGAGGAACTTGTAGTAGTCGTCTTCTACCAAAAGAGCTTCGATAGCACTCGGACGAAGATGCTGCGATAGATTTGCGACAGGCTCATCCTTGAAAGAGCCAAAGTCGCGCGTCAAGCAATGCGGCGCGTACGTAGCATCTGCAAGGGCGACTTCAAAATTTGCAAATGGACCATCTTCAATGCAATGTGAGCGCGGGAAGAGAACACTGGATTTTGAGCTTTCACGACCATTGCCTGAGAAACCATGGTCGAGATCCCACACTGGCGCAGCGGCGAGGTTCTGCCAGTCGAGCGTCCAATCCCAGTATCTGAATGACGTTAGTAAGATGTGTCATCTCTGGCTCACGCACTCACGGGAGTTCTCCAGCGTAATGGCACTCGTTCACGAGGAGCTGATGATAGGTATGGATGAGATAACGGTGCCAGGAAAGGAATGCCGCCGCGAAATGTACTATCAGGAAACATAAGCAGCCGAGTATTTCTTCTTCGGTGTAAGTATGCTTACTTTCTTTATTAGACTGGAAATGCACGTAGGCAAAGTCGTCGTAAAGCGTATGGTTCATCCCAATGCGCGAGGGCTTCGTACGTAGACACCGTACAGCATCGACGTATACGTCTTTCTCCGAGTCGCTCAAACTTCGCCATTCGCGCCGTATAGAAGGTGCGCTGCAAATATGTTTTGCAGAGTCTCGATTTGTCTTCTCTAACAACGAGCTCGCAAAGAAGCCAGTGAGTAGGCTGATCAAGCAGAGACAGAAGCTCAACACAAGAGGCGATTTCGTCCTTATCTTCCGATCCTTATAGATCCTGCCACTGTCTTCTAGAGCATCACGATCGTAGTCCGGATCAACATGGGCTTGTTTTGACTGTTCGGTGTAAGTTGGTAAAAGTGTTTCGTGTTCCATACCTAGGTATTGACCGCCGTGCCGCAAAGGATGGAGGGCGGTACATCCCTGCGTTTATAACGCCATACAGTGCGGTCATCACGGCACAGTAAAGGGAAAAGCGCGACAAGCAATTGATGCGAGGATGATGTGTACGTCCGAGGCTGCATTGCGCCTCTCTTAGGCCACCCATCTTCATCATACCCAAGTGATTAACCGACGTTACGGTCTGCTCGTATCATCTTCGATATACCTCCCGTCTCCGGTCTATCCAGAAACCTTGCAAAGGATGATAGACTAGCTTACGCGCTACTGCAATGATGATTTTGGTGAGCGTTCCAAGATTGTGTACATCTCGCAAAGAGGGGGTGGAGGATTCCGCGGCGGCTAGCGGTTCGGACAAAAGCGCTTCCTGATTGGTTGCCCCACTGTATCCAGACCTCGGGATGGTGGCCCAGGCGTTCACCCTTTCCGTGACCCAGAACCTTCAATCTACCAACTTACGCACAAGTCACACAGCGAGGTCATCTGCGCTACAACGACAGATAAATCTAGTTATAAGCAGGAGTTTTGATCGCACATCTTCTGACAGCGAATACTGATGTTATCTTCGATCAGGTGGGGGCACACATCCATGGATTGAAGTATCTGTGCGCAGTCATCGCGCCTGGTCAAGCAGCTCTGAGAGCATACCTAATATGTCCACATGAGCTAAGCTAGGATGACTATGCTCCACGCATCACATGTGTGGGCTATAAATGCGGTCAACGTCCTTGTTGAGAGATGACCTTATCGTGTATTACGCACCATGACTGGAACGCAGAGCCGCATAGCAGAGCTGGCAGCCCAAGTAGCACAACATACCCAGCGTATCGACGATTACCTCAACCAGAACGGTTTACCACATCCTTCGTTCCATGCTGAGAGCCCCTCGGATCTGGGACTGCAGCCTGACATTGAGCATTCACGTACCGTTGTTCTTCGCGCCAGCCAAGAGCTAAACGACCTCCTACAGCATCCTCGAGACTTGCTGTTCAACCACCACGTCCGTATCTGCACCATCCGTGTCTGAGACATATGTCAGTTTTCTAACTCAGCTGCAGCACAATGTTCTGGTATATCTTCAGCTCATCTCTCGGTTCGATATTGCATCCAAGGTACCGGTGGATGGGGAGATTACTTTTAACCGCCTGGCAACTGTCATTGGCATGGACGAAGGAGCCATAGCCCGGATCCTTCGCCTCGGCATTGCATATCGCATCTTCAAAGAGCCTAGGTACGGCGTCATAGCCCATTCTGCAGCGTCAAGACAGATCGCGGACGATGCCTGCGTAGCAGACTGGATTGGCGCGTCAGTGGACGATATGTGGCCTGCAGCCCATAAAGTGGTCGACGCGCTCACAAAATGGCCTCAGGCAGCGGAGCCTACTGAAACAGTGAGCTCATACAGCGACTTACCGATCCAAGCTGACCAAATTCCCAGGGATTCGCGCTCGCCAATGATACCAACTTGCCGCTTCATGCCGTGTTAGCGCAGAACCCGCAGCGCGCACGTCGTTTTGGTGGCGCCATGAGCTTCTTTACCAAGGGCGACGGCTTATCATTATGTCACTTGACGGACGGATATCCCTGGGCTGCAACGCCATCTGGTACGGTGGTCGACCTCGGTGGCTCTCACGGCGACGCAGCGTTTGCACTAGCGCGGAAGTACCCTGACCTTCACTTCATTGTGCAAGATCTGCCTGGAGTGGTTGCGAATGCGAGATTATTGGAAGGCCTGAATGTGGAGTTCATGGCTCACGACTTCTTCGATGAGCAGCCAGTAAAAGGTGCTGAGGTCTATTACTACCGACACACATTGCACAATTGGCCAGACAAATATTGCACTAAGACGTTAAAGGCGTTGATACCGGCACTGAAGACAGGCGCCAGGCTGCTGATCATGGATATGCTGATGCCTCCGCCTGGCGCGCTTCCCAATGATCTTGATCGTAAGCTAAGGTACGTGTATGCAGCTCTTCACGCCAGCGTACTTCTCACCAAGGACTCACAGGGCCATGGATCTAACTATGTTGGAAATTGGAAATGCCAAAGAGCGCGATCTGAATGATTGGAAAGGCTTACTCGAGAAAATTGATACCAGGTATCAGTTGCGAGAGGTATATCAACCACCAGGCTCGACGTTATCAATCGTTGAGGTAGTGTGGAAAGAGTAAGTGGGGCATGCAAACAATACAGCTGAGTCCAATTCATTCAGAGCATGGTGTCTGTATTGAGCGTTACATTATGAGTTCATTCCATTTGCTCAACTTAACGATCGGGATCGAGACGGTCCCTCCATTCAGTACCGAAGACGGTGGTTCTTGACTTTTGATGGTCTCATTCCCGATTCTTTACTCCTTGCGACGCCATTGATACACCATGCCGTCGTCATCGTCGCTGTTCTTGTGCTCCCATACGATCACGGGCTTGAAGCCTGGAGCTGCCTCTGATTTGGCAACAGCAGCAGCATCTGTTTCGCGTTTCAGTAAGACATATTGACCGCCAACTTTAGATCTCGGCTTACCTCGTTTCGGCTCAACGGGCAAGGCACTGGCATAGAAGCCGCTGGACGCCAAGACGGCAAGAACCAAGGAATTGAAACGCATAGTTGATAGTGTGATAGTGACTTGATGGAACTCGGAAGTATTTGGATCAAACGTGTTATCAGAGCGTCTCGCCGTCCCCTGGGCATGGACTGCGTTGAACTTCTATACTGGTACATGATCACGGCTCGTCGGACCATCTATTCCTCTGATCACGTCGCATAGCATCGCATTGCATTGCATCGTACACGTCAATGAGCTACTGCAACTGTTCCTTCGTCGCGATGCGAAAGTTGAATAGTTCCGGATATACCGCATCTGTTGTCATTATGGGATTGCTGTGCCGCAATGGCGGCGCAAGCGACTAACCGATTGAGTCAGTTAATGGACGGTGACACAACAGCCGAGCTTTATCTCCTTCTTCGCGCCACTCGCGTGGCCTGCCGACTGCATCCGCATGCAGGGTTGATCAATGACAGACGCTCGCATATTCTGTTTGGGAAGTCTCCTTGCAGAACGCTTACGGGTTGACCCAGTGCACCGGTCGAATACTTGCTGCTTTTATGCCATTCGTTGGAAGGATATCGAATACCTTTTGTGCGCTCCAAATACATGCGGCAGTCGAAGCCGTGATCAGATTACGCGTGGACGAGAACTCGCTCGCTCTGCGACCATTACACGCCTTCGATCGTGCAACCTCGAGGTCTCCAACATGGCAAAACGCGAAGGATACCTACCTGTCTCTTCTTCGGAAGATGGTGTTGATGCCATGGAACCTGTGAACAGGTCTCAGTCGCGACTGCGGAAGATTGCTAAGGGCTCTATTGTCGCATTGTCCGTGCTTGGGGCCTTGAGTACTGGATATACACTGGGCTCTCGGAATGCGACTGAAGTTCCGACTACTATACGTGAGTACCAACACGTTTGTCAACCAAATACACTACTAAAAGAGTGCAGTCCCAGCTGGCGATGTTCACTACTACATGCAGTTCGACAAAACATTTCCCCAAAGACCTAATGAGGAGAGTGACGCTGCATGGGCCTCTCTGTTCCCGGAGAAGCTTGGTTTCGTTCAGCATCCAGTCCTTGCACCAAACGTAGCTGGCATTGCTGCCTTTCACGAATTGCACTGCCTTGTAAGTACCTCCACTTTATTTTCCAGCTCTCACGAGACTGAAGGTGTTCTAGAACATGCTACGTCAAGCTTTCTGGGCTTCCGTAGATGGCAAACTTGAGGAGATGGGTGATGAATCGAGGGAGAAGAACCACCGCACCAGCCATCACCATGTGCGACACTGCTTCGAATACCTCCGGCAATCACTTATCTGTCTCGCCGACTCTAATTTGGAGATGATGAACTACACCGCACGAGGAATTTCTGGATGGCAGACTGAGAGAACATGCAGGAACTTTGACGAGCTGAGCGATTGGGCTAATGAGTGGGGCATTTCCAGGGCAGAGGCCCTACACAATCATGATCTTCATGCAAACTTTGTCAATGAGACGCGAGGGCTGTGAATAATAGATAACTAGAGTTGATATGCGACTTTACGACACACGTGCGAAGATCAATGCGGCTTTGTTCTCTCAGTGATGTGCTCTGGGCCCACATCTTCGGGCTTCATTAGAACCCCATCTGCGAAGATATCAATGGCACGGGATTTAGTCCACCCCATAAGGGCATCAAAATCCACGCATTGGTGTGTTGCCCAGCTTCGCGCTGTCACATCATTTCCCCCTCCAGAGAGATATGTGTACGTTCCGAGCGACACATCACCTCTACACATGATGCCCTGGCGCAGAGTCTCTATACAATGGTCTTCGAGAAATGTCAGTTCGGAACACGTGGCTGTTTCAATAAGTGCCTTGACTTACTGACGTGCCGCTCCAATTCATTGCGAGACAGTCCTTGCACGTCCTCAAAATAAGTCTCTTTATATATCCACTGCCTGATCTTTTTCTGTCTTGATGTCAATCTCCATTGTGAGACTGCAAATTGATAGACGTACTTACAAGGCAATGCAGCTCATGTGTCATGAAGATCTCAGATGCGAAGCCGGAGCCGTCAGCTAGGGGTAAAGACGTGACATTGTAGTAACCCAAGTCTTCTTCGGAGACTTTGATGATAGTACCTATCAAGTCGTGTAATTTAGCTACAAATCAGTCTCGGCTTTTGCGGTCATGCAAACCTTCCAGGAGTTCATGCCACGCATGATCGAGTTCTGCGCTCGGAAAGCCTGCAAACGGTGTTCCCGCTACGGTCAATGGGAACACACGAGTGTCTTTGCGATACGCACTTGATGCGGCAAGAGCTGACAATAAAATCAGTACAGACAAGCAGCAGAGATTGACACGACATACAAGGAAAGAGCTCCGGTCTCCAGTTGCGAGCCTCCGACTCCAGGCGCGAATGTTGAACTCGGAGACTGATGTAGAGGGCTCCTAGGACAATGTATCCAATTGCGATAGCCGCGACGACAACGAATGACTGGAGAGATCGAGGCCTATGGCTGTGCGTCCTCATCCCTCGGAAAGGCATAGTCTCGTCATCGGAGAGAACGTATGTGGAATCAGCCTCATCTGTTTCTTTGTTGCGATACGACATTGTGCTTGAAACCAAATGTAGGATTGTGAATGACGCTGCTATGTTTCTCTAACTGACAATGCTTTAACATTTCGCCCGCTGTACGAACAATCACAAGCTTGAACATTGGGTAAAGCGGCACCGGACGAAAGGTGGGATAATGCTTTCCGCTGGAGTGGTAATGAATTAGCAAGCCCTTGCTTGTAGCCGTGCGTGGCATGCCGGCTTGCTTACGGTTGCGGCACAGTCAGCTGCGGCGCGACCCTACGAGGGAAAGTTCATAGGTACCTCCTACGGCTGTCTTTCTCCATGCTTCACGCTTGTTGCACAACATATCAACCCGAACGGAACATTTTTCTTATCGCAGCAACCACGTACAGATCGCGACACGCCGGTGGATCAGAAGCTGGAGTGCTGTGCCTCATTCTTGCCTAAGCGAACGTGCACTATCTACTGCATACAGTACAGAAGGAGCTGCATGGCGTGGAGCGCTGCCAAGTTCATCGCATTAGCGTTGACGTTAGCGCTGTTCGCTATTGCCTCGGTGTTGTTGAGGTTTTGGGCGCATACGAAGACCGGCAATAAACCTGGTATTGACGATGTGCTGATAGTCCCAGCTTTGGTAAGCGACGCGAAGAATCCTTCAACCAAACGCTGACTCACGGCCACACAGATATGTGTAGTCGGTATGGCTGCTGCGATGGTTGTTGGTCAGTGACTACCGAATGATGAAATCGCCGTTGTCTCACTCAGCTCTAGGCGCCGAACTTGGAGAAATGGCCCAGCATCAGACAAACATAAACGGTCCTGATGGCCCGATATTCACCAAGCAACTAGCGGTATTCGAGAAGGTAAAGACCTCTTCCAGCCAACTCCACAACTACTCACAGCTACAGGTCAACTATACCCTGCAACTGCTTTCAGTAGCTTCCCTGGGATTTACCAAGTGCTCTATACTATGCTTCTACCGTCGCGTATTCTGGGTTTATCCGCGGTTTCTATTCGTTAACAATGTTTTGATCATCGTCGTGGCGGTGTGGATGGTATCTTTCTTGTTTGCGATGCTGTTCCAATGCCGACATCCGCAGATTATTTGGACGACGTTTGAGTACGCACCAATCCGCCTGGTCGAGTGTGTGGAGCAGGTACCCTTCTACTTCTCTGTTTCAACCAGCGGTTTCATGTTAGACTTTGTTATTCTCGCCACACCCATACCGGTGATATACCAGCTGCAGATGCATTGGAAGATCCGACTTGCGGCAGTTTGCATCCTGTTGCTTGGAGCGGTGTAAGTATTCCCATCGAACCCCATATAGAGCAAACGTTGACCAAGAACAGTGTGTGTGGGGCTGGTGTCATGCAACTTGTGCAATTCGTAAGGATAGGCCAAGAAATAGCGACGCATTATGATGACATAACTTGTATGTCCGATGAGCTCTCAAGGCCTGAACACCATAGCTAATGACAGGTTAGATTTCACTACACCGATCTTTGCGTGGAGCATGGTGGAAAGCTCATTGGCCGTGGTGGGTGCCAATCTTCCCCTTCTACGACCGTTGCTACATCGCATCGAGCGCACTTGTTCTTGGTTTGCCCGTTTACTCCGCATTACCGGGTGCGAACATACCGTGAGTGGTAGCACCGGGACGAGAGGCTCCGAAGTGAAAGCCGAAACGGAGAAAGAGGAGGTAAAATTTGAGAGGGAAGAGTCTATACGAAGTTACTTCAGTTTCGAGTTGCCGACTGGTCCAGTGAACCGTCCAGATGTTCCGCGTGTGGCTGTGACCGCAAAGCCATCTAGGAGTTAGGCTGCCTCGTCCTGTTCATGGAGTTTTGATGAACAAAAATTTGTGCAGCCACTGTTATTGCGACGAGAATGCATTGTTAGAGTCGCAAGTCCGGAGAGCGGATGTATGAAGATAGTAGCCTCGATTGCGGCATGGCGGAAGCTTCCGCGCTTCGTGACGATGATGCCGTCTTCTCCGACCGAGGGTTAGCAATTACAAAAGCGCCTGTGCGAAGAAGTCGCGTCATACGCACTCGCCCGGAATGTGTGCTTACTCTCAATACACTGCGATAGCCCTCATGAACAGTGCTCGTTCAAGACCCATGGTCAAAAAAATCTGAATGCCATTGACCAAAGGTATGGAATGACGGATGGCATAGTCTGATGATCGTGGGTGTGATAATAGCGCGCTAGCAGCTAGCGCGTTTCGTTCGGGCCCCTGACCTCGGAAATCAAGCACTCCGCAAATAAGGAAAATCTTAACACCTTCTGTAAACCTCCGGATACCGCACTACTCCCGGGTTTTCGCTCAACAGCCACTCTTAATTGATTCCCCGTTAACCGGACTGTAAAGAAATTAGGAATACCCGCGGTCATGCACCCATCCATTCCCGGGAGGGAGCATGAAGAGTTTCGCATCTTCATCGCTTATTATGCCACCTCACGACAGATCAAATCCAGTATACCCGTTCTCCGCCGTCTCGTTGATGGTCTTGTAATAAGTCGGCACGCCGCCAATGTACATCAATGGCTCTCTAGGCTTCCCAGGAATATTACTTCCCATGTACCACTATCGCAGCGTTAGTATACCACAATTCTTGATTCATCGGCTCGTTGCGACTCACAGAATCTACACTGGGCAACAGCGAAGCATTAGCAAGCTTCCAGATGAGCTCTTTCCACTGATCTTCGCTCTCCTTCTGGGCTACGATCCTACGAAGCGACTTCTCCTTCATATGGTTCATCATTTGCAAGATCCAGCCGCCTTGCAGCTCAGCGCACGTGGGACCATTGCACAGCGCAGTCGGCGCTTGGGGCCCATATGTGAAAAACATGTTCGGGAAGCCTGCGACAGCCATTCCGAGATACGTCTTTACGCCGTCCTTCCAATGCTCGCTCAAGCTCTCGCCTGACGGACCGCGGATATCGATCTGTTTCAGACCACCGGTAAGGGCATCGTAACCGGTCGCGCTGATGATGTAGTCGAACTCGTGTTCTTTCTCTGTGGTCTTGATGCCTTTCTCGGTAATCTCTTGGATTGGCGTACCCTTTTCGCTGATGCCAACAAGAGAGACGTTGGACTTATTGTACATTTCAAAGTACCCATTCTCCAGCGCGATACGTTTGCAACCGAAGGAATAGGGTTGCTCAATGGGAGCGAGTGTATCAGCGACTCTGTTGTCATTGATCTTCGCCCGCGTCTTGTCTCGCCAAAAGTTGTATGCTTCGCGGTTGGCTTCTTTGCTAAAAAGCATGTCTTGATAAGCCGCAAGCCAGAATTTGAAATCGCCTTCACTCCACAAGTCTTCGTAAACCTTCATTCTTTGTTCTGGCGTATCGTCGAATGTAGAGCGGGGGATGAACTCAAACGAGAAGCCCGAGAAGCGTGTTTTCAACGCTGCGAAGAAGTCCGGATACTCAAGCTTGGCGATGGCTTGTTGCGGAAGGTCGTAGTCGACTTGACGCATTGGCATTGACATGTTCAGTGTCCGTTGGAAGACTGTGAGCTGGCTGGCAGTCTTGCTCAGCTCCTGCGCTATTTGAATGCCGGTAGCGCCAGTTCCAATAACAGCCACCTTCTTGCCGCGGAGATCAGGTTCTTCATGAGGCCAAAACGAGGGATGGAGGAAGGTGCCTGATCCAAGGTTAGTGAGTTTCACTGCGACGGCAATGTGATCCGACCTTTGAAAGAGTCGATGCCTTTCCAGTCGGGAATGTGTCGCTTCGCCGCGAAGCCAGTGTTCAACAAAAGAAACTTCACCTTGTACATCTCGCCTGCCTTTGTTTTCACTGTCCACCTCGCTTCGTCATCACTCCATGTCGCAGATGAAACGAATGTATCAAACTTGGTATCCTTCCGCAGATCCCACACCTTCTCCACGTGAGCAAAATAAGCGCGAAGCTCCGAGCCTGCTGGGAACCTCTGCTTCCATGTCCAATCCTTCCAAAGCGTTGGGTCGGAGAATTCGTAGTGGGGAATGGAGCTGTCGACACGAACGCCTGGGTACCGATTCCAGTACCATACACCACCGTAATCGGATCCGTGCTCCACGAGCTTGACGTTATAGCCTGCGTCGCGGAGTATCTTCAGCTGGTATACACCGCAGAAACCTGCGCCAACTATCAGGGCGTCGAGCTGGTTGATGTGCGTGCCATTGGTGCCGTTAGCACTGCCGTTGAGGGACAGTTTTTGGATATCTTCGATGGAGCCCATGTTGATATATAACCTGAGCCACAGCAGCGCTGGCGGATGTGGAGGATGAAGCCGCTATGATGTTGACTACACTGCAGGTGTAGCTGGGGAAGAGATGACAATGAGGGCAAGCTTACACGGATAGCAGACTGCTGGACTCCTTGCGTAACTTAAATGAATAACCTGCAGTTCATCCGGGATGTATTGGCACAGCGCATCACGCGCGAGAGAGTAATTCTGCAATTCTTGGTCTTGTTCATCAGGCCATACCCCGACGAATCCTTGTGCTCAGTCTCAGACTAGATCGGTGAGAGGTGGTAACACATTGCGTGCCCCGCTTACTCTGGTACGCGGTTCTTCGGAAATGGCACCGCTGTGGAGCTGCCAAGGCTTCTGCGGTACGGCACGCCCGTTGGATGGCTAGTGTCAGTTCATGAAGCGGAAATGTGGTATTTCAGGGAGTTCAACATCTATCGCACGACACAACCTGGACGTCATATTGACATTGCTCCAAAGCACGAAGAGTGCGCTCGTCGCTACTAATTTGTTGTGACACCAAGCTTGGCAGCGCCTGCAGCGGATATGGTCAGTTGCACAGCTACGCGTGAAGGATGTAAGATCCATGTAGTACTATATGCATCATGGAAGGTTCGGCCCTTTTATCATGGGGCCGACGAGCCTGGCGCTACAGGCGGGGAAAGGTGGCGCGGGTACTCACTGGAGGAAGACCGTTTTGTAATCATGACATGCGTTGATGAGGGCTCTGCTGATGCGTCTTACAAGCATGGCAAATCTTGCCGGGCGGTTTTGCACCAGACAATTTGAAGTCAACAATGCATCCGATACCGGCCTATGTAAAGACCGAAAGAAGAACTTCAGCTCCCAGGCCTACACTCAAGTACAATGTGTATATCAGCGGTTACTATCCTCATGCTAGACATTCTGACAGATGCATGTGTTGTTCTAATCTAAAGTCTGCGACATTGTACTTTCAAAGGCATCATGGGAATGTCGCGCACGATCACAATGGAGAGGACAGCTGCTCTGACGTGCATAGCGTTCGTCGATGTGACAGCGTCTAGTCACAGTAGCGTGTTCGTCAGCTGTAAACCTACAAGATGTGAAAATGCGCCGTGTAACCCTGAGTACACAGAATAACCATTATGCCACACCTAACAGTTAGCAATAGACATAATAGGAGACGATAGAAGGTATGAAAAGAGCCTATAGACGTTGACTTAGCGATATAGGGCGTCGTAGTCAGCGCTCGCGGAAGTGTTTGGCAAAAAAGGTTCGCCAAAAGATCAACACCCCAACTCCTGGGCGACGACGACGACATGTCCCTAAGAGCGCAAAAAACAAGGAAGCCCGACGTGGGGGTCTAGAAGCTGTTAGGGACTGTAGTTGAGCAGTTGTTGGAGGGTATACGAACCGAACCCACAACCTTGAGATAACCAATCGAGTCTGATTAGGACGTGAAAGCTAAGAGTCTCACGCTCTACCGATTGAGCTAGCCGGGCGATGCTGTTGTTTGATGGAAGAAGTCGAGATTGAAACGCCTGTATACTCGGATAATGCTGTCTGATGGTAACGTTCAGGCTATAGCAAACCAGGCTACAAATTGCTCAAGTTTGGGATTGGTGGTTGTGGTAGCAAAGAAAATTTCTTGCGGTCGTGTGGGGCCGGCGGCGGCGGAGGACCGGCGAACATCGTGCGTGTAGCCTACATGACTTGTCAACCGAGAACGATCATGCTGACGCTCTTCTACTGTTCGGAAGGATTTGCTGGTGTTACGGAGGGAAGGAAATTGTTTGCAACCCATACTTCAGTCGCGGTATAGGGGCGTCCGGCGGGCATCGATGCTGCGACGACGTGTGTCACCACCAACAGCGAGCTCCTGAAGTCAGGTATCCCTGCCTTACCACTTGCTACACACGGGAAGATGACATTGCTGGCACTCGGCGTTGAGATCGCGAGGCTAGTTACTGCAGTGTAAATAGGGGCTCATGACAGTCCAGTCGCACGCCCTGCCTAGGCACGCCTTATGAACTCCAGACCGCTCCTTGCTTGGACTCATAGATCTGGCGTAGGCACCACGCCAGCAATGAAGTCCGGGTCGGATCGATGTAGTTGTTCTTGATGTGCTACGTGCACTAGGTGTGTAATGGGCGCATGTTGCGACGCAGTTAGGCTGAGGCAGCTACCCGGGGGAGCGATGGATCAACTGAGAGTGGCTCAATGTATTGGTGCAATGTAGCAATAAAGACCGCAAGAACATCGCAAGCATCTGATAAAGATTCAACGAAACCAAGAGTCGTTGTTGAGGTTGCAGTGTAGTGCTCCTTGTGGACACCTTACACCCCATAGCTGCAGCACCCTGATGACGTATCCACTCCTGTCCCCACGTGCACAGACCACTACCTCAGCTCGGATCAGACGGCTTCACCCAACACAGAGCCTCGTCCTTGTTGCAGTCGACGTTCGCACAAGCTTTCTGATCGACGTCTAGTGCGAGACTGGACTTGAGAATTTTGGTGACAGTGCGAGGCTGGGTCCTAGGATTGGTGCATATCTAGTATCGACTTCGGACATGTCGATTCAGACTGGTTCCCTACTCCAAGCGTACCACGGGAGGGCTCAGGTTAGCATTTTTGATAGCTGATTGATATGAAAGCTTGGACTGAACTCATGTTTCACGTTGAGAAGTATACTGTTGATGGTATAAATTGCTGCCGTTACATCGTTTACTCATACATCATGAAAAGAGGAAATTGCAATATGCATGCATGCAGCCCACCGCTCCCAAGAAAGGTATACTTGCGACCCAACGCCTTGCTGTAACATAAACAAATAACCCCCAAAGATACAGGATTCATCATGGTGATTGCCAAGTGCTCACCGATAGATCATCTCTTCCCTGAGAACACTCCTCGGCGGACTGGGTACGTGTGGCGCAGGGAGACTCAACCTCTTCGTTTCGACCTTGACCTCGCGCAGATCGATTTCTTGTTCCAGTTCGCCGACATCGTGGTATGTTCCCACGTGTTTGACAAGGCTGTCTACTGTCCGGCAAATCGCGTCGACATCTCTGCCCTTGCTGCAAATTGTGCACGCGTACTCGCCATTTGGAGTATGGCATTTGATGACGAAGCGCTGGGCAAGACGGAACTCGCGCGTGTCCATGATGTCGTGCTCATAGCCAGTTGTCTTGTCCCAGATGGTGACGGGTGTTCGTTTGCCTATCATCCAGAAGTCTTCGCTGGTTACGTCGAGGCGCACGCCGCATGCAGGACATGCGCAGCTACCTCCAGGGGCAAAGGAAGCTGCCAAGGGGTTTCCGGGCATGTATTGTAGATCGAGTGCGTAGCGGCAGAAGAGTTGCTCGGGGCCATCCATGGGCATAATAGCACTAGGCGCGCGCTGCGAAGGGACGAGGGAGCGCGGAGGCGATGCAGGGCGGGGTGGGGGTGGTGCGCCGACTTGCGAGCCTCCTAATCGTTGTTGCGCTTCTTGTAGAGCGATCATGGAGCCTTCCCTGGCTTGGTTTGAGGCGGCGATGAGTTTGGACATGTCGGCGCGAGTCAATTGGCGGTCGTTGTATAGGGCATCTTGGAGGACGTTTATAACGGTTTGTTGGAGGGAGATGATGTGCGCTTGTAGTTTGTTCTCGACAATGGCTGTGCGTGGGGTCAGTCTTGTCCCAGTTCTCCAGAGCAATCAACTTACCATCACCCTGGGCGAACCGGCTGCCCATCCTGCCATAGCCTTGGTCATACATCCTCTGAACCATCATACCATCCCTCTCAAAATTGTTTCCTACGTCGTCGCGCCCTCCACCGTTCTTTAGCCGGTCAATCTCCTGTTGTCTACCATCGGCTCTCTTCTGCGCCTCTTCGAACTGCTTCTTCAGCTCCTTGATCTCGCCATCTTGTTTCGTGTCGCGCTGTTTTTGTCGGTGCTGCTGGCGCTTGTCTGAGACGCGCTCCCATAGCCCCATAGACGCCGTGAACGTGCCGACAAGCGTGGACGCCAACGTGGCCACGATGAAGGTTTTCTGAGCCGCACGTGTTAGATTTGCGATCAATAGTAAGCACTAAGTGGGCATACCTTGAGTTTCTCCTCTTCGATCCATGATGCGTAATTCATTGTCGCGTTGGTGGTGTGAGCAAGTAGGCTCGTACGCCGCTTCAGTATCGAACCGCGGAAAGGGCCGAGGAGATGGCGTGTTAAGGTTGCACGTTGGAAAGACGACACGTGCGTGCTTGACAGAATACGATCCCAACTCTTTCTAGCCTCGTGAAGTAGCCGCCTTATCAGAAATCGGTAATGCAACAAAGTGAAGTAGGAAAAGAAAAGCGCGGAGAATAAAGCGCAACCCCCTCCGCATTGCCAATGACGCACTCTGTCCTCCGCCCGTCCTGTAACACACGCGAGTCGAGCCCCCAAACGGCGCCCGACCTTAGATCAGCCGGGCATGGGAAATAGCGGCAGCTGATTGCACCAAATGTCGCGCAAATATCGGAATGGGCATGGACGCAGTGCTCTGACCGCTGGTTTCACGATGTGTTGCGAGCCGCGCCAGCAAAGTGGATGCGCCATGTGCTGTGATGTCATGCCGCTAGCTGGATTGGCATTAGCTGACATGCGGGAGATGAAGCCGGCGAGGACCGCAACCTTAATATAAGCATGGCGGCCACGAGACGCCTCGATGAAGTCGTATGAGGTTTCCGAGGGGCATTCCAAGGTTGCGGTTTCAGATATGTGAAGCGAACATGGCGGCCAACCTTGGAACACGTACCTAGGTATGCTGCAGCCGCTCCAGCGCGTCGCACTCCCAATAGCACGAATGTGATCTTTCATCAATATTCTCGACAGCCACACATAAATATACTTAGTACCTGCGCAGTATATGACATGAGATTGTCAGGGGTTTGTCCATTTCCGGCTGCCTGTCATCACCGACCCCTTTGTAAGCTGACTGCATTGCCTTCCCACAGCCGAAAGCATGTTGGTATCCGCTACCCGGCGCCTGCCGAGGGTATCTTCAGTCCTTGTTTTGTTGTTGTACGGGACATGGGAATCTTCAGGTTTGGACGGTCCGATAAAGATGTCGATCTGATTCTGTACAAACACCATGCCAGTCCGTGTCGTTGATACGTCAAGGACATGACGTGAGCGTCCGCCCAATGCAAGTCTGCGGCGCGACGCCCAGGTAATGAAACAGCATCAACCTGGACGCACGCTTCACCGACTCTTTCGACAAGGTACCGTTTACTATCGGAAGTAATGTAACAAGCCCAGTTTCTCCAGAGCATCAACATTTGCTAACGAACATAAAGTCTGTTACGACACAGAAAGTAGTAAAAGCCAACAGGGGAGAAAACAAGACGAGAATAGCAAATGAATACCTCGCTGTATCCTATGTATGCCGCGCGTCGACAAGCATTCCGTTTATGAACGTCGTCAAGAGCACTATTGTCATTTGCTTCACTATTTGCTTACAACGATCTCAATCGCGTACTGTGAACAGAGACGTCAAGAAAAACCCAAGCGCTAACATCGAGCAAGGTCTCGCTAGTAGCTGTCAACTTTAGAAAAGGTAGTCTTCAGCCACTCTGAGATGGTGTCAAACATGGCATCTTTTGCAGCTATTCTCGCTTTCTCCGCTTCGGGATCCTTAGCGGGAAAGCCTTCGAATGCATGTGGCTGGCCAAATACTTTATAGTATTGCACCCCCAGCGCCGACCAGCCTTCCTTGTTCGGAATCTTAGCCCTGCCGCCCGCAAGCTTCTCAGCCATGACTTCGACCTCGCGGCAGAACATGTCATGCTCAGCTCCGATGAGTAGAAGCGCCGGCGGCAACCTTTCTCTTGTAGCGAAATACATTGGACTCAAACGCACATCCTGCATGGAGGGCTTCTGGGCTTCATCCAGGTACAAATTCATGATGTCATCGAAGCTCTTTCCGATGAAGTCAGGGACTTGAGGATCTGGCCGAGTTGCCATCTTTGTATCGCTATCGGAGTCGAAGTCAACGGCAGGGTAGATGGATACGACACCCAGAATTTTGGACAGTAGCCGCGAGTCTTGGGCCGCGCCAAGGGTAAGATTACCTCCAGCTGAACTGCCGCAGAGGACGACTTTTGACTTGTCGATAGGCAATTCTGGATCATCAATCACGGCGAGCGTTTGAGCGATGACATCCTCGTAGGCAGTGGGGAACTTGTTTTGGGGCGATTTGCCATAATCTATGCTGACTACGATACAGTTTGCATGATCAGCAAGATGTCGCGCCAGAACATCGTCGGCTGCGGGATAGTTGACGATGAAGCCACCACCGTGAGCTCTGATGACGAGGGGCAGCGGAGTCTGTTTGCCTTGAGAGTCTTTTGGTATGAATGTACGGCAGCCATAAAGACTCGGTCGACAAGGGTAGTTCTTGATAAAATCGGGTTGAGTTGCGGGCGCTAGCCAGGGTGAGGTCCGGACATAGAGCGAGGTATGAGCGATTGCTCGGATGCAGGCAAACTGAACGTGCGCCAGCGTCCACATGTCGAATTTCCAAACGCTCCTCGGGTATCAATGCTATTGTAACTGATAGAAATCAGTGAAGCTGGCTTGTAGGTGTTTGCCTGCGCCAGCTGGGCGAAGGTAAGGTGGGGTTATCTGGGGGCCTTGTGCACATATCTGGCCTAGCTCATGGAGACGGCCACTAGTCCCAATGCAGCGAAAGCCGCGGAGATAGCAATGGCGCCCTGCAACGGATCAATAATCGAATGATGACAAAACGTCGAGGGGCAGCAGCGATTGAGCTACCCCACTCTCGAGTCTCATGGGTGGTGCAGTCGCGCGTGGCCGGCATCGGGCCATGCAGGACCTAGCATCATCTTTTGTCCATTTCGAAGATTCGTTCCGTGCCTGTTGATGCCTTTGCGCCCCTGAGCTTCACCATTTATCGTCAACATGGCCACTCCCAAGATCAGTGGGCGGGGAATCCGCATTGCGATTGATGTATGTCTCACTATCGTGCGTACAACTGTAGCTGACAAGGCAGCGCGGCGGTACCTTCACGGACTGCGTAGGTAACCCCGGCACGGGCAAGATGGAAGACGACATTCTCATCAAGCTCCTCTCCGTCGACCCCTCCAACTACGATGACGCGCCGCTCGAAGGCATCCGCCGCCTCCTCTCCAAGTTCACCGGCACCGAGATCCCCCGTGGACAGCCGCTCGACACGTCCAAGATCGAGAGCATACGCATGGGCACCACCGTCGCCACCAACGCGCTGTTAGAGAGGAAGGGCGAGGACATCGCCATGGTGGTCACAAAGGGCTTCAAGGACTGTCTCGAGATTGGTAATCAGAGCAGGCCGAACATCTTCGCGCTGGATATCCGGAAGCCCGAGGTGCTGTACAAGAAGGTCGTCGAGATCGATGAGCGCGTCACCCTGGAAGACTACGCGGAAGATCCGGAGAGAAACCAGACACAGGCAAAGAGCATAGAAGAGGCCGGAGACAGCGCAGAACTGGTCAAGGGCTTATCGGGCGAGACTGTGCGCATACTACAACGACCGCAGGAGGAGGCGATAAGGAAGCAACTGCAGGAAGTCTACGATAGTGGACTGAAGAGCATCGCCGTCTGCTTGATGCATGGATACACATACCCCAACCACGAGGCCTTGGTGGGCAAGATCGCGAGGGACATTGGCTTTGAACACGTCAGCTTGAGCCACGAGCTTATGCCCATGATCAAACTGGTCCCGCGCGCTACCTCGGCCTGCGCAGACGCATACCTCACCCCCGCAATCCGGAAATACATCGATGGCTTCTCCAAGGGTTTCGAAGGTGGTCTTGGCTCCAAGAGTGTGAAGCGCGAAGAGGGCTCCAAGGGCGCTCGCTGCGAGTTCATGCAGTCGGACGGAGGCCTGGTAGACGTCGACATCTTCTCTGGCCTGAAAGCCATCCTATCTGGTCCTGCTGGAGGAGTGGTTGGCTATGCGCTCACGTCATACGACCCCGAAACCAAGATTCCCGTCATCGGCTTCGACATGGGCGGCACCAGTACAGACGTGAGCAGATACGGCGCCGGACGCTACGACCACGTCTTCGAGACCACCACAGCTGGCGTTACCATACAGTCTCCACAGCTCGACATCAACACTGTCGCAGCAGGTGGTGGTTCGCGTCTGTTCTGGAGGAACGGACTGTTCGTCGTAGGCCCCGAGTCGGCAAGCGCACACCCTGGGCCAGCATGCTACCGCAAGGGTGGCCCACTTACCATCACAGACGCAAACTTGTTCCTTGGCCGCTTATTACCCGACTTCTTTCCCAAGATTTTCGGCAAGAATGAAGACGAAGGCCTCGATGCGCAAGCGAGCGAGAAACTGTTCAAGGAACTGGCCGAGCAGATCAACAAAGAGGTCGCAGGTGGTAATAAGGAGAAGGAGATGTCGCTGGACGATATCGCAAACGGATTTATCAAGATCGCTAATGAGACCATGACCCGGCCGATTCGAAGTCTAACAGAAGCCCGTGGACACGATACAAGCAAGCACAGGCTCGCCACTTTTGGTGGTGCGGGTGGCCAGCACGCCGTCGCCATCGCCGAAGCACTTGGCATCTCGCAAATCCTGATTCATCGCTACTCATCAGTGCTATCAGCATATGGCATGGCTCTCGCTGATGTCGTCGATGAAAGACAAGAGCCAGAGTCTACAGTATGGTCGGACGAGAAGGATGTGAGAGAGTACTTGCAGAACAAGATGGCAGACCTCAAGGGCAAATCAACAGCTACGCTTAGAGACCAGGGCTTTGACGAAGAGCATGTCCAATTCGAAGAGTATCTCAACCTGAGGTATCGCGGAACAGAGTCGGCACTTATGATCATCAAGCCGAAGAAGGAGGAGGCAGAGCAAGAGTACGACGGCGATGAATGGGCTTTTGGCAAGGCTTTCGTCAAGCAACATGACCAGGAGTTCGGCTTTACTCTACCCGATCGCGACATCATTGTCGATGACGTACGAGCTCGCGGCATTGGCAAGACTTTTGAAGGTCTCGAGAAGAGTGTAGATCAGCAACTCAAGGAGATCGAACCAAAGGACCTCTCAGGAGGCACAAAGCGCTACGATACCCGAAAGGTCTTCTTCGAAGGCGGCCGGCAAGATACGTCCGTCTACAAGCTCGAAGACTTGGAAGTGGGCGATCGATTGAAGGGTCCAGCAATCATCGCAGATGGCACGCAGACCATCGTCGTGACGCCTGGTGCCACTGCGCTTGTCATCCATACTCATGTGGTGATCAACATTGGTGAGACGGAAGACCAAGATAAGCAGGTTGACACGAAAGAAGTCGACCCGATATTGCTCAGTATTTTTGCTCATCGGTTCATGGCTATTGCTGAGCAAATGGGCCGCGCGTTGCAGAAAACCAGTGTGTCAACGAACGTCAAAGAACGATTGGACTATTCCTGCGCACTGTTCGATGCGGATGGCGGACTAGTCGCTAATGGTAAGTTGATCGCTGGAGTAAACTGAATCAGCTAACACTCGTGTAGCTCCCCACTTACCGGTGCATCTCGGAAGTATGTCAACCTGTGTCCGCAAACAAGCCGCCATTTGGAAGGGAAAGCTCAAGAAAGGCGACGTCCTTGTCTCTAATCACCCCATGTTCGGCGGTACCCATTTGCCAGACATCACTGTGATCACACCCGCGTTCAGTGGTGACAACATCATCTTCTACGTCGCTTCCCGCGCGCATCATGCCGATATAGGCGGAATACTTCCTGGCTCCATGCCCCCTGCGTCAAAGGAACTTTACCAGGAAGGTGCGGCCATAAAATCCGAGAAGCTGGTGTCAGAAGGACACTTCAACGAGAAGCGCATCACCGAGCTACTCTTTGATGAACCAGGCCAATATCCTGGCTGCTCGGGTACGAGATGTCTCAGTGACAACATCAATGATCTGAAGGCCCAGGTCGCCGCTAACCAAAAGGGTATTAACCTAATCAACACACTAATGTCGGACTATGGCGAGCGAGTCGTCAAGTTCTACATGACAAGCATACAAGCCAATGCGGAGCAGTCCGTTCGCGCGCTGCTAAAGGACGTATACAAGCGATTCGAGGGCCAAGATCTTAGCGCAGAGGACTTCATGGATGACGGTAGTCCAATACGACTGAAGGTCTCTATTGATCCCGAGAAGGGTGAAGCTGTCTTCGACTTCTCTGGTACCGGGCCTGAAGTGTACGGAAACATCAATGCGCCAGAAGCCGTTACCTACTCAGCCATCATATACTGTCTTCGCTGTCTGATCAGCGAGGACATCCCATTGAACCAAGGCTGTCTCAAGCCTATTCACGTTCTCATCCCCAAGAAGTCGTTCCTCTCGCCGTCTGACAATGCCGCTGTTGTGGGTGGCAACGTGCTCACAAGTCAGCGCGTGACAGATGTCGTCCTCAAAGCGTTCCGTGCTTGTGCTGCAAGTCAGGGAGATTGCAATAATCTTACCTTTGGATTTGGCGGTACAACATACGGAGAAGGCGAAAAGAGCGGCGAACGCAAAGACACGAAGGGTTTTGGATATTACGAAACAATTGCAGGAGGATCTGGTGCAGGCTCGACCTGGAACGGCACCAACGGTGTTCATACGCACATGACCAACACCCGAATTACCGACTCCGAGGTCTTCGAGCGAAGATACCCCGTTCTTCTCCGCGAGTTCTCACTCAGGGAAGATAGTGCAGGTAAGGGCATGCACATCGGTGGTGAGGGCGTAATCCGCGACATCGAGTTCCGCATCCCTGTCCAAGTCAGTATCCTCAGCGAACGAAGAGTTTACCATCCGTATGGTATGGAAGGAGGAGGAGATGCCGCATGCGGTCTGAACATCTGGGTGAAGAAGGTTGACAAGAAAGCCATCGATCAAAATTCCGACTCCAAGCGTCCAGCGGAGTCTGTGGAGGATGCGCATGCGCCTACCACTTCCTATGCAGTTGAAACGCTGCTGAAGAAGGATGCCGATATCAGGAAGGAAGATGTGGAGTACAGATACATCAACATGGGTGCTAAGAACACGGCAGCCATGCGGCCTGGTGAACGCATCATCATCCACACACCTGGTGGCGGTGGCTGGGGCAAAGAGGGCGAGCAAAGTAGGGTGCAGGATAAGATTGACCCTAAGGGCAGTTGGAAGGGCGGAAGTATAGCCGGAAGGCAGAGCACTGCGGAGGCCAGTGCGTAGAAGACATCTTTGTATATCTTGTGAAAACTATAACGAACACATTCCACCTTCAAGCACAGTCTGGTGCATGTGACTCACATTGCGGTATCATCGAGAAGCATCGCCCTCTTAGATGCCCTCCTCAAACCACCGTCTGACTTCCGCCTCGCAAATTTCTCTCCAATCCTCCCCAGCCCCGCCTTCCCTTCGATGCGCCTTCGCCCACCCCTTGGCAATTTTATCCACCACATCCTCTCTCCTACCCTTCCACCTCGGAAAAAACCGCATATTCTCCGCCTCAAACTCATCCACAGCCTCTTTCGGCACCGGCCACGTCTTCCCAAAATTCTCCCCATTATCTAGTATAACATCGCTCACTGTGATGCCATACATGGGCCTGTCCGCCATCGCCCTGGGTAGCAGATGCGTAAGATCTATCCGCCTATACACCATGGAAATGTACATGGCGGTTGTGAGAAAGTACTCCAGCGGATCACGATTCTCCTTTGAGCTGGCGGGATACTTGAAGTCGGCGAAAGTGATAGCGACACGGATGTGTGGGTGTTTCCGGCAGAAACGTGCTATGTAGACGAGGTCGTCCCATTTTATCGGGCTGATCCAGCGTTTTTGCAAGATAGGTATGGCATCCTCCAGTTTTTTGTAGTGTAGTGAGAAGTTGATCCAGTCGCGTTGTTTCGGGGTACAGCCTGCGAGGAGCAGATCGAGATCCGAGGCATATTTGGCTTGGACGGTGTTGTAGCGGAGTTCCAAGTCAGCTGCTTCTGTGTAGAGTTGGCGATTTACGTGTTTGAGTTGGTTGACAGCGGGGGGGTAGGTGCTGTGTTTATTTGGGGGTTGGCGCAGCCCTCGCCACCGAGATGTGGGTAGTGGTGATAGTTGCTTGGAAGGAGCAGTCAGTGCGAATGTGTAGATGAGGTTGCGCAGTTCGCCTGGCAGGCCTAGTAAAGAGGGTGTTGGATACGGTACATGCGTCTTTTCAGGGCTCTTTGTAGACTGACTGGTTTTGGCACTCGCTTTCGCCTTCTTTGTTGCGTAGTCATTGGGAATGTGTGGACCATCGTACTCAGAGTACTTTCTTTTGCGTGTGACCCAGACTATCTTTGCAGCTCGTTTTTCGGGACGCGAGACCAGTGGAGAGGCAACGGAAGTATGTACCTGCTTTGATGGTATTTTGACAACGAGATCAATCCAGAAATGCGTAGCATTAACATTTACATTACTCTAGTAGGTATGAGAAAGTCTTGGAACCGAGAGGCATGATGCGCATAATAAATGCAAGCATATCAAAGCCTCGACCGCCTCACTTGCTTTCAGCAATCACACCATCACTCTTCCTCGCATTCGCAAAATTCTTACTCTCGTAGAACGCAATCATATCCTTCCAGACTTTCTCCCATTCGTCCTTCATCCACCCATGTTCTGCGACCCAAAGCTTCTCATGCACAACCTTCAACGAGCCATCGCCCTCTCCCTCGGTGGGGAAGAAACCGCCCCATTGTCTTTCCAACTTCGTCCCGGGATATGCGCCCTCAGGACCAAACTGCCAGTTCAGGAATGCTTGCTCCGCCATCAAACAGTTGTAATTGTCGGTCTTGACATAGTTCTGGAGAAGGCGAGCGTGCATACGCAAAGAAGGAGTGAAGACCATTGAACCGACATTGATGTTGGGGTGCTTAGCATCGAGATCTTGCGCGACGCCAGCGAAGATATAAGGTTCGCATACCGGGCCGTCCTCAAGGAAGTCATCGAGATGCAGCTTCTCAGGTATGCATTCCTGTATCGGCGCAAGCTCAAACATCTCGTCCATGTTCGACAGCGGAAAAGCATCAGCGTCCAGAAACAGGATGCGCTCAAACTCCGTCTCTTTCCACATGTTGAGCTTGGCGAAGAGGTCTTTCCATCGGTCTTCTACGCCGTCGACATTGCACTCCCAATGAAGAGGTGGAAGCTCGCGGACTAGGGCGCCAGCTCCTTTGAGGAGTGCGCGTTGCTCTTCTGTGACATATTCGGCTACGAAGACGATGAAGGGGTACTTTTTACTACGTGTGCGGGATGACCAGAGTAGTCGGTAGATGAGCGAGTGGATGGCGAGGAAATATGGGTCCTTCAAGGAAGGATTGCGAGTAGCGAGAAAAGTTGCATACGCATATCCTCTCGGACCATTGGGATTGTAGTTGCGAGGCTTCTGTGCCAGGTACTTTTGGAGTACTGAAGTGGGAAGCTCGAGTTGGAGTTCGTCTTGAAAGTTGTATTTCGTTCCGGGTACGTGTTCCGTACTAAACGGTGGCGAGGCTCCTGCGAAGGAAGGTTCCGGGTGAAGGCCAGAATCGGAATGTGCGTTGGCTAAACTGGACGGCCGAATACCGTCTAGTAAGCCCTTCTCTCCGATTGCGGATGCATCGTCATGGTTGGAGACACGGTGCCCGTCAGATGGCAGGATCTCGATCCCGTCAATGTGCCCGTCTCCATGCGCATATGAGAAACCATATCGGTGTTGTGCGACAAGGTATACGGTTCCGAGACAAGCAAGTGTCGCTAGGGTAATGTTGTGTCGCCGTCGCATATTGTGTACGGAAGTACAGTTCAGGTTTCGCGATGGACCTTTAGTCAGGTCTAGATGCAACCTTCGTGAAAAGGAGGGGAACTTCACATGCGCATTTGGTCAAACTGCTAGGGCGCCGAGCCGTGTCGTAGTCCAGCCGACAACAAGGTGCATGTCGCCTGAATGGAACCGTGACACTGACGACGACCTGTTGATCCTGATCAAAGTCCCAACACAATTGAGAGCAAGGGTCGAGTTAATCACGCACGGTGATGTCGCCAATTCCGGGTGCTGCCGTCAGCATGATCGGCAGGCGAGCAAGGACCACCAGTCCATGCCGAGCAAGTACCCCATGGGGCGCCGCTTCGGAGCAATCTCCACTTTGGATCACCAATAAACATTTGCACCAACATGATAATGCATCTTACCCGTTTAGCACCTGCAGTAGCGCCGTGACGGGTTGCCCCTGGCGTGCCAACATCACATGAAGCCGAGCCAAAAGTGTCTAGAGGAGTCGATAGTCGGCCACCGCATTGCGATGACACAAACGAAGATTTGTGGATGAAGACTATTTCAATTTCTTCTAACGTACAGAGTAGCTGCGCTGGTGTTTTGGAGGGGAGACTTGTGGCTGGATGGTGCATCTGTAAAGCCAATTTGCCAGCTTGACGCTGGGCTCATCGACTAGTTTCGTGACAACCTCGGCTGCATACAGCGTAATGGGTAGGATAATTAGCTGCGATAGCCAAAATGCAGGCTCGAGCCCCATGGGCCCCCCCTTGGGAAGCGGGAACTTGTCGACCCATCCTGGGAGACCGTCCTGGTGGAACGGTCTTGAAAGCCCAACCGCGGCATAAATTCGGTCTCCTATTGTCCAGATGACTAGGCCATGAACTAGGTACAGCGCGAATGAGATGCGCGCGAGGTACTGGCAAACCCCGGTCTCGAAGAAGCGCTTCAGCAATGGTAGTCGTGGAATCGACGCTACGGCTAAGAACGCAGCCCAGAAGAGGTAGAACCATTTGGCGTCAAAGACAGCTTGAGGCTTGAGATGCGACAGCCAGATCCATCCAGGAGATTTTGAGATGAGTACTGTGTGATCGATGTCGGGTGCATCAAATGCTGGTACACCGCCGAGGTAAAGTGCAGCGATGAAGAGGTGGAAGAATATGAGCTCCTTGAACCCAGCCAGCGCACTGAGGAATCGTGGAAGCTGGTCTTGCTCGGCCAGCAGGTCGAGGTCGCAGAGCAGCATTCCGGATATGAACAATGCTCCGTAGAAGCCGTCTACCACGTACAGGAAGTAGAAGGCCAGAGCCACCTGGCACATGAGGCGAGCATTGCGTGTGCATCGGGAAAGAGCGGAGAGTGCGGTGTAGACGATAATGGATCCTTTGAACTCAATCGGAATTGACCAGGAATGAGGGTGGTAGGGCTCTGTAAATTCGTAGATATTCGTAGAGAAGACGAAGCTGTAGTTCTTGAAAGTTCGATACCAGCTGATGACATCCTCGCGGAACGTAGGTTCCATATTGCGCATATCGACAGATATTCCACTCCAATGGCGGAACGACATCCACGCAAAGGTGACGACGATGATGGGAAGGTATAGTCGAAGCCAGCGGCGGAAAAGGGCAGAGCCGACGGTGTTCGACGCACTTGAGATCTGGCCCTCATGGATTTGTTGTAGGCTTTTGAGCGAAAGGACATATCCTGAGATGACGAAAAAGATAGCCACTGCGAAGTGACCACCAGAGAATATGAGTCGAAAGAATGGGAATGCTGCCGAGTAGTATTTCCCATCGTAGCCAAACGAAGTTTCGAATGCTTGATTGCCCTTGCCTCCATGAGACCAAAGTTGGTTATGGTGCAGGTACACCAAGAACGCCGCAAAGCCCCTAAGGCCATCCAGCCATGCTGTTGGTCTTGCAGGCTTGCTCTTCGTTATTGAGCGTAAGCTCAAGAATTCGGGACGCACTGCGTTGAGACTCAATTTCGTTGTTCGTACTGGTTTCCATATTGTCGGCGAGAGTTTGACATCGTCAAGGCAACCTTTGTCGAGCAAGCCCTGGTGTGTGGCTGGCATAGCTGAATCCGAAGCGGTAGCAGAAGTGATGGCAGCTGTGGTTTCAATCGAATGTAAAGGTCAATATCTAAGAATCCCACAAACGCTTGGTACACGAGCGAATGGTGCGGGTGTCGCGCGAGGCTAGAGAACGCGTAGTTTTCTGACGGGAGCTATGCCTTTAGCTTCCCTCAACCGAGGCAGCATGTGTGGTTCACAACGGTAAGTTTAATAAAGCGATCGTCCAGGTCGAGTCGATCATGCAAGCGGGGCATGTTGAACTTGGCATCATACCCCAGAAGGATCCGAGGTTGCACCATCTTGTGAAGTCAACAGCCCACGAATCAAGACAGTTTGATATCATAGACAATACAGTTGGGCCGTTCCTGATGAGAGACGTCCGGTGCGGGGCTTGAGTGGGGATACTACCGTTTGTGTCGACGCCTCCGACCATCTTGCAGGGATCATCTAGAGAAGCTTTAGCCTAGGCGTCTTGACCCAACATCGCCGCCGCAATGATGCAGGCGGCTCCTTAGCCATGCGACGCACATGCGCTATTGAACACCCGTCACGAGGCTGGTCCTGCATTCAACAGTTGTACCGATGTACCGAGGAAGTAGAGCTGCGCGGGGATTGGTGGGCGCAAGGGCCGAATGTAAAAACGACAGGAGGGTCTTGGAAAAGATAGTCAGTGAGCTAATCTCTCAAAGACTCAGGATGGCTGGATCGAAATAGTCGCCTGCTTTTTGTAATAACCACAGCATGCGCACGCGACCCAGGGCACCTCCACCCAAGCTTCACCTCAATATTGCAATGGCTCCCCATTCCCCAATTGCAGCGCACTTCTCGGGCAAGCTCACGAGCCAAGTGAGAAGGGTCCTGCCTGCATATCTTGCCCTGCTTTTCATCTTCTTGTTCTTCGCCAATACACACTTCTTTACTACACCCATTCGGGCTGCCAACAATTACAGGCGCGAGCTCAGATATCAACAGCCACTGCAGCTAAAAAGTGATGTGATTCCGAGGAAGATTTGGCAGACATGGAAGGTCGGCCCTCTAGGCTTCGAGAAACGCGACTCGGATTCAGCGAAGACCTGGCCGGCGAAGAACCCCCGGTATCGGTACGAGGTTTTGACGGACGATAACGCGAACGATTACCTCGAATTCCACTACGGCGCTCACGGTATCAACAGACCAGACCTTGTCAACCTTTACCGAGAGCTTAACATAACGATCATCAAGGCTGACTTGCTTCGTTATCTCGTCATGTACGCCGAGGGTGGCGTGTATGCCGACATAGATGTGGAATGTCTCCGTCCTATCGATCGATTCATACCCGAGCGGTACATTGAGGAGGAGGTCGATATGATTATTGGTGTCGAGATTGACGAGCCAACCTTCGCCGAGCACCCCATCCTTGGTGGCAAGTGCAAGTCCTTTTGCCAATGGACGTTCGCCGCCAAGCCCAGACTGCCAGTCATGATGAGGCTCATGGAGAACATACAAGCGTGGCTACATGAGCTGTCGCATCAGAAAGAGGTCGAGATATCAGAGCTGCAGCTAGACTTCGACGAGGTCATAAGCGGGACGGGTCCTTCTGCGTTCACAAAGGCTGTATTGGAGCAGATGACTGCACAGAATCAAGGCAAGCCGGTTACCTGGGACCTCTTCCACAATCTTGCGGAGTCGAGACTCGTCAATGGCATCCTAGTGTTGAATGTGGAAGCTTTCGCAGCCGGCCAAGGCCACTCGGACTCCGGTAACCATGACTCAAGGGGGGCTTTGGTAAAGCATCACTATCATGCTTCGGGATGGCCGACACTCCACCCGCGCCGCAATCACCCCATGTACGGCGAGGTAGAGCAATGTAACTGGAAGCCTGAGTGTGTAGCAGAATGGGTAAGTCTGACAGCGACCTTCTATACACGCATCTTTACTGACATCGCATAGGACAAGAACGTCGCCGAATGGGATACGCTCCCTAAAGAAGAGCAGGATAAGCGCATCGCCAGCAAACCGGCACCGCCCGGTGGCATCAAGCCTCACTAGACTTGAGCCTCTTGTATATATATATGGGTGGAAGGTGTCCATGACCGAATACATCGGGGTCTGCAGTGCGGCTGCATCGGGTCGGCGCGTGCGGGATGGAGCGGAGGTGTCGGGTGCTACCCATCGCGTCGTCAGCTCGTGGTAGGGCGCGGTTCGTCTCGAGCCTCAGAAGCCGAAGCGTAGCGCCGCGCAGTCTCGTACTCAACGGCCGCCATCGCCGCGGGTGTGGTTGGTGGTAGCTAGGGGGCGTGGTGATGGAGAGGTAGCGGAGCTCGCGTCTATGGACGATCAAGCAGATTTTGGGCCGTGACGTCATCGACGCGTCGGCCTACCACACGAATAATGTAATGTCATATGAACACAGCACAACAAGCAATCGCACTTCGCTCCGCCTTGATTCATCGCACGTCTTTCTCGCCCATGATCTCGTCTCTGAATATACGTCTTGTGGGAATTGGGGTGAGAGCTGGTCGTTACTCAGGCCACTGTTGAGAAGGCAAACCTTCGCGTCGCTCAAACAGTCGCGTGGGATATGCCTCTTTCCAATCGCTCACGGTATGTCTTCGAAGTTTCATCAATACACATAAAATATCCTACCAACATCATCATACCTAGGTACCTAGGTATGGTCTCCGACACATTAACAGTAAGTACAGTCAAGGACGCATTTGAGCTTCGACCTTGAAGCAAACAACTAAATCGTCTGCTCGACACTCGACGTAGAGGCTACGATCTCAACAGCGCACGGGTATGCCCTTCCACTAGTGTTACCAGCAAGTGGCCTAATCTCAACGTTCGCGGCCTTGATGCTAGGATGTGGGTCTCGATTTGGGTCCCAGGATAATGCGTACTACTGTCTAGACTATGCTAACTCGATTATTCTGATCGAATTTGATATTCACATCTCTTGAATCGGTTCCCGCGTCGAGAGACTCCAAAATTCACACAACCAAATATATGTCGCGCGAGCGCAATAATGTATCATGAAGAGACTTCTTTAGGATATACCCGCTTTTGTCGAGAAGGATGCCGGAGGAGGCAGACAAATATGAGAGCCCTCCTGATAACGCTGGTTGCGACATCTTAGGAGAAAGTTTTCTCATCCCGACTAAGAGCTTTGTGATATTGAACCTTTGCAGTAGTAACCCGAAAAGTTGAGGCTCCTCGATGAGAGAAATTCAGTGTATCGAAAGCTAGAGTGCATCTAGGAAGTAGCATGAGAACATTGGTTTGATTTCATTCTTGCGCGAGAATGGAACACGGTAAGACCGTTGGTGGATCAGATATGTCTTTTCTTTCACTCGACACACTTGGCTGGGCTACCTTGCTCACATTGCGAGCATGGCACTGATAGAGTTGTTTCATTATCTTTCACGCCATCGCCTATGTGGGTAATCGCTCCGGCAACTGTACTATGGACCGTACCATTCATTCACACTGCTCATACGATGTGTTGATCGCATCGCTCGATTTGACAACAATACTGGGAGCTAGCAATAACACCCAGAGTTCTGTTCTACAACTCCAAGTCATTGGCACACCTTCCTTGGCAGCGCAGATGTCGCGGCAGTCTTCGCAAGAATGGCAAACGCGCTCGCAGACCGAAACATATTCGACAGACGGGAGGCAGCAAAACTTCGTACCCGGGCTAGAAATAGGATTCCACACGACTACGTCCAGTTTCACTGGCGAGGAGAGTGCGGAGGAGAGCCATGGCGATGACCGCAACCAGAGAGTTGGCTTAAATCGACCTCACGCAATACCATCAGCAGGTGCTGTAGACACCAGCATGACAAACAACGACTTAATCCGCAGCTCAACACACAGCTCGACCTCTTCGAGTCTGCACTTCCTCAATCTGGGTGACTTGGCTACAGCATTGCCCCCAATTGGCTTGATCGGCTCGTCATCACAAGGACACTCAACGATACATGTTCGTCCAGCGAAGCCCTTCCGGTCCGCTCCCACGCGGATGTTCGCGCCACCAGGTAAACGCTCAACTTCTCCAACCGAGTCGATCGGCTCTAGCTATTCTTGGCGCTCTGGCAGAGCAGGCGTGCACGGTCGACTTTGCGATAAACCACAAGGACCGAGTATGACAGACTCATATGCAGATAGAGGTGAGGGCGTCCCCGAGGTAATCGATCACGAACAAAGAGGGCGGAGTAAGGAACGGGAACGGGAACGGGAAAGAGAGACGCGGCCTGGCCTCGCACGGAGACTGATTGGACGCTTCACAAGCTCCGATGTAGATGCGCAGAGAGACCAGCCAAGCAAACCGAGCACTGGAGATGTATACAGAGTGAGACGTGGTAAACGAAGGAGTACCAATTTCGGCTTCTAATCGAAATGGAGCTTAGAAATATGCCACGTGATACCATGGGCATATGACCAGATGATACACAGCCGCCATATCGCAGGATAGAAGCCGCGTAGATATTGAGCTTATGAAGACCTTTTCGTAAGGTGGTCTCCTGGCATCGTGAGAACACAGGTCGAGAAGGAAGGGGACCCGCACGTCGCGCGATCGATGACGTCAGTCACGTGCTGTCTATTTGGCGGGTACCAAGATAGTGTAGATTGACTATGTACTTAATCCAAACCCTATAAGTGGACTGTCTCGCATCTTGCAAACTGACAATCGTGAGAAGAGAAGACGCGGCGCAGAAGCGAATGTCCTGTCAAGTCCGCACGTACTGCCCAGGTGAGTTTAGTGTCTTCGAAACTGTGCACGGGCAATGACGTCCCCATCGCGAACGCGCGCCCGACCTTGGATAGCTGCCAATCTTCCCACTTCCCTTTCAGCTCCTCATCTCCTTCTACTTGTTTTCGTCAAATCACGTCAGGATTCTGCCTATCACGTTTCGTAGTCGTTCGTAACAGCCATGCGGCGGCGGGGTAACTTAATCTTAGCTGGGTGCAACGCGCCCGCGTGGTGGCTTAGCGCGACGATGGGACGCCGCACTGCCGTTCGCTCACCCTCGTGACAGCTTGCGCCGCTAATGCACTTCTCACTTCCTGCGACTTCATTGCAATCCATCAGCGGCGATTGAGGTCAAACTTTGTTGGGCAGTTTGCGACGCCATTCAAACACGAGAGGACGCTATGGACCATGTCAGCGCATCTCTCGAACTCCTTCATCGTACGTGTCACCGTCAATAATCGCTTGAACTCCTCGATCAACGACCTACCACGTTCTAAGCTTCGTGTATTTCACGACATTGTGCAAGAGATGGCTGAACTAAAAAGGTTTTGACTAATCGTTTGTCTGCTCTCAAACACGGAACAGGAGACAATGGAGTTAGATTCACGATGCTAACGTCGCTGTAGTCATCTGCGCAACTTTGATCTTTGTCCGCGACGTCACGAAAGACACAAGCGGCGTAACTAATACAACGAACTTTTTAAACGAGACGCTTGTGTTCCTGGATGTGTTCTCGAATGTCTGCTTCAGCGACTTAACCGGAGTTTTACGCGACAGTCGTTTACATCGTATCTTACCAAGTGATGTAGAGCACTCTCTTTACTCGCTCAACAAGTCTCTAGCCGCACATCGGGAGGCGTGGAGGTACATCGGCAAGAGTCCCACCCCCGGTGCGGGGCAAAGAAGCATTGAGGATCTGAAGCGCGGTCGTGCTGCGTCACTAGATGTTCAGCATGAAAAGAAGAGCTGGAGAGACGAAATGAAAGAACGCTCGCAACTCTGGCGGGAAAAGGCGCGGCCAGGGCTATACAAAGCATTGTTCGGAGAAGAGGAGATGGCCACACTCACCTTGAATTGCTTGCAATGGACACATCGGCTTCGTCAAACTCTGGAAATTGTCTTCCTTGGCATCGGACCTCCGGATCCAGGATTCGGTAATTCCAGGCAGGCTGCTATTCTTGGCGTGGCAGAACAACTCGAACGCCAGCATCGAGCAGGTGCAGAACCTTCGGGCGACTATACTGCGCTCGTTGGCGCGCTCAGAGAAACGATCAGCACTGGGCAGCCATCGCATGGCCTTATCAAGACGATATACGATGACGGTGGAGATGAAGTCGACGTTCTTGTTGAAACGCGATCGGACGACGAGACGCCTGCTGAGTACATGTGTCATTTGACGTGGTTGCTACAAGCTCCTCATCAGACTGACGTATCCGTCAAGAGCGACGCCCAGAACGGCTACCAGCTGCATACATTAAGCTGTATGGGTTTCATCGATGATCCACTCAACAGAAGGAGTCTGATCATCTACCGCGCTCCGCAAAGCCATCCTTGGGCATCAAACCCACCGTCTTTGTATGACATGATCTCGAAGGGTCCGACCGCGAGACCCTCAATAGGAAGTCGCTTTCTCATCGCAAGAGCGCTGACAAGCACACTACTCGAGTCGCATGCCTCCGGCTGGGTTCACGGGAACGTACAGTCGCGCAGTATCGTAATGCTGCCAAGATCGTTTAACGATCTCGAGTTGTCTCCCTTCTTTGTTGGCTGGGGTGTCCTCCAACCCCTCGAGGCCACGCACTTCCCGTTGGAGCCGAACCTGTACCGCCACCATGACCGTTTTGGCCGACCATCTTCAGAATATTCCAACGAGCACGAGATCTACTCACTGGGCGTGGTTCTTCTAGAGCTTGGACTATGGCGGACGATGGCGAAAGTCTTCGCCCGCCGCATAGAGAAGTTTCCAATCTTCGGCATAGTACAGCAGCAGGATCTCTTTAATCGTATACACAATGCGATACTAGATTGGGCCAACAGTACCGAAATCGAGAGAGAGATGGGAAAGGCTTACGCGCAAGTCGTGTCAAAGTGTCTTACTTGGCACTATGAAGATCCAGTCGAAGGCATGATTGAGTTCCGAAAGCAAGTCGTGGACGTGTTGACTACAGGATGTGGATTATAGCTGGTGGACTGCTTCTGGACATCAAACCCAGTCGAATTGCGACAAATACCAAATTTGAGAGCGATTAAATACTAGCGACTGAGGACGAGGAGTGGTCGCGCAAACAGAGCAACGGCGTCAGCGGAAAGAGTCCTACGCCAAACACCAAATACAAGCGCGCATGCAAACAGCAACGAATGTGTCGACACACAAACCTCTTGGGCGGGGAAAGTGATGTTTCGTATGCTATATGTTGGCGCTACGACCTCGCATCAACGGTTGAGTCGGTCCACCCTCTTCGTCAGTATATACAATACAACAGTATATGGTAGTCCAAGCTTTCAGATCACTTATCGGTTACGATGTTCGGGGTTCTTCCAGTGGTCTTCACGCCAAGTGAGCTCCCTGGCTCACTGTCCGGAAAATGCTATGACCACACATGGCCAGCGTCTGTCATTGCAGGCTTTCCAGAGCTGCTATGACGTTACGAAAATTATATCACCTCGCCATGGGCCCGTTTAGGAGATGCAAATGAGCACGGGCACCCAGAGGGTGCTTCGTCTACTGATAAATAGCCCGTCTCTTACACTCAAGCACCTTGGCTCCCCTCCACCCTTACACCCACCAGCGCTCCCAAAGTCTTGGTTTCACCGGCTGTACCGCGACTACCGCTCTCCTCGCACATCGCCCCGCCCTCACCTCTTCCGACAATCGCTTAGAAGACTGCGCCGGCCCGCCCAACTCAATATCCATATCCCCTAGCTCCAAGACCAAGGCCCAAGCATCGAAATGTACGACGAAAACGAGGACTTCGCTCCTGAAGACTTGGCCTGGGTCGCGGCCGACGTCGCAAAGAACGAGGAAGAAGAGATGAATCGCGCTCTTCAGGCGAGCCGAGCTACAATGGGAGATGGAGTGCCACCTCGTCCTACGAGCGCTAGGGCCGCCAGTCAGCCCGAGGACGAAGACGAGGAGACCCTTCTTGCGCTTTCCGTCAGCCGGGTAGTGACAGAAGAGGCGGACCGGAAACGCAATGCTGACGCAGAGGCGGACCACCAACGCCTTCTCGAGGCTCAAAGGCAGTCTGAGCGTGAAGCACAGGCTGTCCATCAGGAACGCGAGGATACTCTTGCTGCGCTTTCCATCAGCCAGGTAGAGGCCGAACAGGCGGATCAGAAACGCAATGCTGACGCAGAGGCGGACCAACAACGACTTCTCGAAGCTCAAAAGCAGTCGGAGCTTGAGGCCCTAGCTGCCGATCAGCAACGCAATGCTACCCGAAAAGCTGAACTACAGTCTCTAAAGGATGAGCGTGCTCGGGCTCAAGCTGCACGATTACGCCAAGAGATCTTTGATCAAGCCATCGTCGAGAGCAAGGTGGCAGCCGAGACTGAGCAGCGGCAACATGAACAAGAGTTTGCGTGCCTTCAGGAGGCATACGCTGTGCGTGGCCTGAGCGAGGACGAGCAGCTGCAGATGGCTTTAAGACAAAGTCAAGATGAAGAACATTCTCGGGAAGTTGCACAGGTCGGGCAACTTCGAGAGGATATGCTGCGCTGGGTGAGCGAGCAAGAACAAAACTCTGGACCACCAGGCGAGCCATCGGCTACCCAGCGTTCAGAAGACCGTCCAGTTTTGGGGGCCATGGCGTCATATCCTCCAGGTCCGGTCACTGAGCAGCAACAAAGGAGCGTGGCCGATGCTCAGGAGTTCATTGACAACCCGAATGTACTCTATCGGCCTTTAACACCGATCTCAGAGGCATCTGCATCGCGACCAGCAAGTCTTCGATCAGTGGCAGCAGACCAAGCCCGACGCTCTAACATCGTCACCGCCACAACCACGACGGATCACAGCAGGATAGATATCAGGCTGCCATACCCACCTGGTGCACTTCTTACACCACCAGCCTCTGATAGAAGCAGATCTTCCATCCGATCAGTTTCATCAGGCCGTCCGCCATCGTATCATACGGTAGAAGAGAATCCTGCGCGGAGAGTGGAGTCGTTTGAGGTATCCCATGATATCCCGAACGAGTCGCAGACTAGCGAAGAGCCTCCCCGATATCCTGGCGCTTATCCTCCGTCTCCTTCCCAGACCGGTTCGGCGGCTGCTAGTACGGTGCTCGATTCAAGGCCGATTGCTGGGACGCCCTTACTTCCAGGAGCATACCCCCCTTCGTACGCGAGCAGTAGAGCACCTCGCAGCGTGACGAGAGCATTTTCTGAGACGCCTGTGCAAGAAAGTGTCGTGTCTCGACGCCCGTTGGGCAATAGGGGATCCAGCAATGTGTCTTCAGTGCCCTCATTCCAGGGCCAAACTGCGGGTAACAGTCATCTGCAGGGAACCAATGTGTCTACGCGAAGCGAATCGTTCCCTGGCGCATATCCGCCATCGTCGCAAGCAAGTGGTGTACCGAGTCGGCTGAATACGGTATCGTCCGGAGGGACATTCTTCACAGCCCAGGAAACGCAGGCACCTCAGCGCGTTTCAACACCACAGGTCACTCTCTCCGATCTCTGGAATCATCGGGACCGAGATATTTCTCAGCGGGAAGGACCAGACCACCGTCCGTTCACACCCGTTTCGTCATCTCCACGTTCAAGCGAAGCCTCATCTGCTATTCGACCGCCGTCGTCTCGCACGTCTCAGGGAAGTTTTACGCGTAAGCCTGTTGCAAGATCTCAGCACGCTACTTCCGTTGCTGCTGAGCACCCACCGCCAGCCACTGCTGCCGATGCTGTCAGTTCGTCTGACGTGATCTCGTCTGGCTTGCGGCAGGACCCGGTGACAAACATATTCAACGCTCCGGTCAGCGTGACCATCAATAACTTTCCCGAAGCGCCCAAGCCCTCCCAGAATCTACTAAAGCAAGTCTTTAATAAGAGCAGGCAGACTAACAAGGGCATTAAAGTTGTCGAGCAGAAAGGGCCAGGGTTTTACGTCAAGGGTATAGCTGAAGCAGCACTAAAGAGTGGCACAACATATGTCAATAAGAAGACAAGCTGGTTTCAGCCCAAATCCTCTTCTACGGCTGAACAGTCTATACTCAGGGATTTTGAGGGAACAGGTCGAGCATATGTACCCCCATTCGTGGACACGGGCAGCATTGCTAGTCCTTTGCCTTCGAGACAGCCTTTGCACGTCGTGAACCCAAGTCCATCGCGGTCGACTCCCACGATCCCAGCGACGCCAAAGGTACCTGAGACCTCACATCAAATGATGACGACAGGAATTACACCTCGAAGGTCACCACGCTCCGACCTGAGCATGGCTCATACGAGAAGGCCGCTGCAATCAGAATTACCCGGACGACAGAGTGATGAGCTCGCCACTCCTCGGCCGTCTACATTTCAGCGGTCGGTGACGTCACCTCCGCTGGCAGCGATGATACAGTCGAGACCAATATCGCTGGATCAGTCAACTGTGTCCCAGATCTCCGACGTGAACGGTAATGCCGTGACTCCGCCTAGCGTCTGTCAATCGAGAGTGAGAAGCTCGATGGACAACGATAGTTTCAGGTGCGGTTCTGAACTCCGGCCTGAGCCCCTGAACGTGCGCAAGCAGCCTCCTCGTGTGCCACCAAAGCCTTTGGAGTTGGCGAGCCCTATGACGCGCACGGAACCTCCTCCTCCGCCTCCTCTTGCGAGCCGCAACCCGATGACGAGGCGTATGCTCAGCGAACCAGAAGAAGGGTCTGGGTGGTTGCATCAACCAGTGCAGTTCACAATATCAAATCCGACGCAAGGGCCAACAATAGGCTCACCGGATTCCATGACGGTGACACCCCCAACACCTCGGCGGATCAACGTAGATTTGAACCGGCGCAGTCAATTTGGGCCTATTGATACGAGCCTGGCGAACGTGCCTCATGGTGAACGTCGCATCGACGAGTTCAGCTCGCGTTCAATGATGGATCTAGGCATGATGGGCCAAGTAGGCAATCCTGCGATAATGGAGCCACTGCGTGGACAGTACGAGCAGACCTATGCCCGTCCATCGCACGTCCAGCAGGAAAGGCTGAACTCGGATGCGAGGGCAAGGAAAAAAGAGAAGGACACCCAGAAGGCTTTACGGAGGCAGTTTTGAAGGTTGGAAAGGCGCAAAGGAGTGAAGCCTGGAGTAGAGGGAGAGCCCCTATCTGACTATTTCAGCGACGTTTTATTGAGTATCGCAAATAATTGTATATTGTTTTTCGTCTCGGAAAGGTTTGCAGTGCTGTTGTCGCATCGTCATTCCGTCGTGACACGGCTCCAATAGGCTTGCAGCTCAAATGCTACTCGTTTGGTTTGCTTGTCAACCGGAAAAGAACGCCTCAGATAACGTTACCCGACATCGCGCGTGTGAGCAGTGGGGTAGTGACCCGCTAGAGCAGGGGTGTCGGCCTCTCCATCAATTCCCGATCGATAAGCAGCGGAGATGCATGCCGTCGTAATGAGACCAACTGTTGCGCTGCGAACTAAAAGGGAATAAGTATCCAAGAGCCAGGCACGAAATACCTCGTTGAATGATTTGCCAAAGTCCTATCGATCGTTTTCTCAAAATTTGAAAGCATGGGGTCTATAGATATCGCAAGTGGTATTAGGACGGTAGGCAATCAAAGGAAATAGTCAAAGAGCTCTGCTGACGCTGCATAGAGTTGGAGTCGTTTAGTGCGGTTTGTCGCGACCGAGGACGGTGCTGAGCACATCGGCGAGCCCCTTGATGCCGAATTGGATGGTATGTCGATCTTTTGTCTTTATTGCCCGTTGTTACTAATACGTTGCAGTCGGCGCAGCCCTTGCTTCAGGATCAGAAGTAAAAGTCCGCGTGTTCACCGGGTCGACCGTACTCTCCGTGGATACCCAGCCAACACTAGTGACCTACACGATATCAAGACTACTGCCACCGCTTTCAAAAGCCGAAGTTGGAACGATCCGCTGTATAGGCCTGAATTATCGGAAACATGCCAAAGAGATGAACTTGGACCTTCCCGACCACCCAACTCTCTTCTTCAAGCCTTCAACATGCCTCGGTTCGCCAAACGCACCTTTGGTCATTCCACATCAGGCGACAGATGGCCAGGCTGATTACGAAGCCGAGCTTGCGGTTGTCATCGGGAAGCTAGCCAAGAACGTGAGTAAAGAAGATGCGATGGATTACGTGCTGGGCTACACATGTTCGAATGACGTAACCGCGCGAGTCCACCAGTTTAACGGAGCGCAATGGGGGTTCGGCAAGGGCTTCGATGGCTTCGCGCCACTGGGGCCATGCTTGGTATCGGCGTCTTCGATACCAAACCCAGGCGACATTGAGCTGAAGACGGTACTCAACGGCGAGACTATGCAATATTCGCTGGCGAACGATATGATCTTCAGCATACCAGAAATAGTGGCATATCTGAGCCAGGGAACGACGCTGGAGCCAGGTACTGTAATCATGACGGGTACGCCGCATGGAATCGGTGTGAGCAAGGTGCCGAAGGTATGGCTCAAACCGGGAGATGATCTGAGGATTGTGATGAGTCATGGTATGGGAAGTCTGGTTACACCCGTAGCTTATGAGGAAGCTTAGAGTATATACCGACAGCGAGGCTACATGACATACAAGTGGAACAATAGTACCATCTTTTTAAAGGCAACGAGATATACCAAAACCATGGTTGCACAATTGGCGGGGTCGGCAGTATCTACAGAGCGTGATGCGCTATTGGAAGCCGAACAGCATCTGCTCTTGTGTGATGTTATCCAGTACATTCTCCCAGTGTTGTAGATCGGTTGGCTCAAACAAGGTCGTAAAAGATGGGTCACCCCATGGAGGCGCATGCCATTGGAAGGGCCCGCCTGCGCCTATCGCCGGCAGATCTGGCACCGTTACCGAGCTATCTTCCGTATACGGTGATGTTAGGTCGATGGTATTGGCACCATGCACGGCAGGTGGTGCATTGTCTGCTGTGTTGGGACGTGTTTCAGTACGACTAGCACGAAACTGATTCGCTTTCTTGATGCAGAGTTCAATTATTTTGACCTCAGCTAGCGCGAACTCATTGAGCCAGATATCGGCTCTTTGCATCTCGCAATATGCGGAGAGGTCCTCTAGTATCGCGTGACATTTAGGCGATTGTGGATCTTTGACAGCGATTATTCCGAGGACTAAAGCACTGTTGAAGAGGTGGTGTGGACCCAAAGTCCACTTCAGACGGTCATTCAATGGCTGTTGGAAGTAATCGATGCGCATGGCAAGGTCTGCGCATGCCGACGATATGCACGCATCGTGACTATATCTGAAGCGATTGGTGATACTTTGGCGCAGCAAGTACGGTCGATGAAGCGTGACGCGGGCGAAGTGGTACATGGAGTGGAGATGCAAGCGATTCCAGTAAAGGAAGGGGTGCATGCTATCCATAGATGTAACTGGGGTTTTCAGATGATAGTAGTCTGGTAACCTTGCCTCCCAGTCGATAATCTCATGGTCTAGCGAAATGACGGTGTCGTACGAAACGGTAAAGAGACCAAAGCAACGCTCTTGAATGCTGCCGATAATCTTTGCCAGATCGTGTGCGAGAAAGTTGTAAACGCTCAGAGTCGGCTCAGACGTTGGTAGTTCTGGAATGGCGGACGTGTCCTCGTCCGGTTGGTCGTCCAACCAGACGTTGGTGGCTCTCTTGACGAGACATTGCTGGTCAACTATGGCGAAGGGACGACCGATGGCAAGCGCGATAGTTTTATCCAAGGTGTAAAGATGGCTCCACAAACGCCTTCGGGTTTCGGTCTCTTTTCGCGAGAGACGCCAACGTTCGCCATCGATATGCATGCCTTGTGCTTGGGCCATACGCATGGCAAAACTGGTCGTAAGCCAAGCCTCTGGTACTCTTCGCAAATGGAT